TGAACCTTGGCATTCCTCTGGCATTCAGTTTGCTCGCAGGAGGCCTCACAGGTGGCTCTGAAGCTGTGTGCAGAGGGGCTGTGCCCTGTGGGAGAGAAACCACTGGGCAGCTGCCCTCTTCAGATGGCTTCCTTGGCTGCATCTGATGGGCTCATGGGCAGACCAAGCAGGGACGGCAGAAGCTTAACTCTGCTGCAGTAGCCATGTGAAACTGTGCAGAAGAGAAGTGTGTGTCTGGGTCGCTGCATCTGTTTGGAAAACTGGGTTCACTTGTAGACTTCTAGCAGGAAAACAGGAAATCTTTTCCACTTGCCTCCTTTAAAAATTGACCCTTGAGCTTTCCTAGGCAGCAGCCTGCCGCTCCAGAGGAATGCAGTGGGGTGGGGTGGGGTGGGGTGCATGTGCCCAGGGGGCTGGGGTACGATGGATCTGCAAGATCAGTGCAGGCTGGTTACCTGAAGGAGCATCTCCTTCCACATGTGCCTGGCTGCCCCTTAAGAGCTGGGGCAGAGTCCCTTCTCTGGGAGCCCTCCTTGAAGGGGATTAGGAGGGTGACTCCCCGGAGAAGAGCCTTCCCCACGGTGGCACTCAAATTGTGGAATACGCTCCCCAGAGAGTTTTACCAGGCACTTTCACTTTATTCTTTTCTGTGTCAGGCTAAAACCTTTTTATTTTCCCATGTTTTAAGGTTTGACTGTTTTTAACATGGATTTTATTGTTGCTTGGTTAAGAATTTGACTAAGGTGCTATATTTCATTCTATTTTGTCTTATTGTTAAGCCATCCTGAGACTATGGTAAGGCTTTAAATAAATTTTAAAAAGTTTTAAATAAATAAATAAGTAAATACTTAAGTTCACTTCATTACAGTGGGATTTAAACAGCTGGTGCCTGATCCAGTTTGCACGTGACTGCCAACTGGGTCGTTTAATGCCTAGTTAGAGCTGTGCAAGCAGGCATTTGCACACTTGTTTACTTTGTCCTTCTGTCAGCAACCCAGGAATGACTTCTCCACACGCAGAACTCTGGATTGTGCAGGGGTTAAAACGGGGATCCTCAAACTTTTCCACCGGGGAACCAGTTGAAAGGTGCTGGCGCTGGGCATGGGCCGGAAAGGTGGGGCCGGCGGTGCATATGGGTCGGCGTGGGGGCGTGCGTGCAGCGAGGCGGGGGCACGAGGCAGCGGCTTGCTCGCTTGGGGATTGTTTCTCTGAGTGAACAAACCGCTGCCTCCCCGTGTGTGGGGTGAGGTGGGCGGTGGGCACGGGCACAGCGGTCCAGATGGGCATGGCAGGCCAGATCCGGCCCCCGGGCCGTAGTTTGAGGACCCATGCATTAAAACAACCTGAAAAAATACAAATCTTTTATTTGCAGTGCGACAATAGCAGCAAGAGCAGTGACAGTAAAAAGGGGAGAATCATATCATAAAACATTTTTGTCATTAATTTTATTGGGCAATTCCCCCCCCCCAAAAAACCAGGGACAAAACTGAAGCATTAAAAATGCAGAAAGATCCAGTAAATGTGTGTATCAGCATATGTTAGTGTATAACTGAATATGCTACAGTTAGTAAATATAATATGTCGGCTTCAAAAGAGGCATCGCAAGTATCTGTAGGCGTATCCATTCATGGAATAGGCCTAAGGGCCACCTATTCAAAAACCAGAAGTTTCATTAAATCCTCTACCCCTTTTGTTCCTGCTTGTTATTCTTTAACTTTCCGAAGTTGTAGTATCAGTCTTTTAGCTGTTGGAAGCGTGTGGAAAATCCATTTATGCAGCCCTCTGTTAGCCCCCAAGAGATGAGTAGGTAATTCCAAAGAGTGTATCCTTGAATATGAAAGGACTTTGCATTGCAAGATTTATCCAGATTATTACCTGCTCCCCAAAGGAAGCTGCTTTTGAGCATTGCCGAAGTGTATGAAGAAGGGAAGCATTAGCAGCCTTGTACGTCCAGCCATCAGCCTGCTTAGCTAAGTCCAGCTTATGCAAAGCATCCCTTTTTTTGCAGAATTGAGCATGGCCTCAGGCCCCCTGTGGAATGGGTAATTGTGACGTGGGCAGGACCTGGTGCTCCAGTTCCTTATTCCTGGCTTGGCAGAAGTCCTGCATAGAGGATGGGCACAGCACTGTGGACCGCTTGGCGGGAGTCACTGTCATCTGATTCTGAACAAGCGGAGGAAGAGGAGGAGAGGGGAGGGGCAGACGAAGCCTTTCAGACTCCTTCAAGTGACGTTTCCCAGGCCAAGCTTGAGACGTGGCCTGGTTTGGAAGGAGAGGGAGGGTCTCCAGGAAGGGTGGCTGAGCAGGTACAAGACCCAGTCCTTGGCCCTGTGGGGAGGCATCGGGAGAAATGATTGAAGGAGCTTGGCCTTTCACAGAGGGAGCAGCCAGAAGCCTGACTGAGAGGGAGGGACTGAGGAGAGGTTCCCAGTTTGGATTCAACTCTTGGCATGAGCAGAGGCACCTCTTCTGGGCTTCAGTAGAAGCCCAGTTAGAGCTTGAACTGTTCTGTTATCTGTGGAGTCACAATAAAAGGATTGTTTTGAATTTTGCAACCAGAGGGAAGAAACGGGGCCAGCTCACCTATCCTGTTTATTCACAGATAATACGTATTTATGTTCATGAATTGTAGGTTTAAACAACGTTTGAGCTTCAGTCAGTACTTCCAGTAACGCAGACAACTCTGAAGCTAGAAAAGCAGGACTAAACCTGGATTCGGACAAGTGGTTCAGTTACATATATTCCCACGCAGCCATAGTGGGCAATTCATGTTTCGCCCACAAAACAGAGTGGCTGGAAATTGTCGTCAGGACCAGCAAGCTCACCCTCCCCATCCAAGTCTGCCAAACAAACATTTTCCTGCCAACGTTTGCATCTAGATTTCCCCATAAAGTTAATTTGTGTGTGCAAATATGTCGGAGTGCAATTGACGTGGAAAGATTGGCCACAGCTCTCTGGCTGTACGTCTGGAAGGAGCACACGATCTATTTCAGTATGATCAGAGCCCCCAAAGCAGCCCCCTTGGGAAGAGGAGCCAGAAATCAAGACATCTAATCCAGGTGGGAAAGACCAGAATCTAGTGAAGGCAAGAAATAAGGTCCAGTGGAATAACGAAAGGGTGTCCAAATATACCCTCTTTGAGTGACGATGGCGCCCCTTTCAAAAATATTCATGGTGTGGTGGAACCCCATAGAAAAGCATGAAACAAAACTTTAAGTTTCTGGAAATACTTTCCAGATATAAATAAAGGAGAGCTTATGTAAACATAAATATTTTGAGGTATTACCTTCATTTAAAGTATATTTACCCTTCTCTATGCACTTAACTTTATAGATGCCTCTCTGCCCATGTCCCCTGAGACAACTTTAGTCAACTTACACTGAAGTAACGTAATTATTTGTGGAATATCTCTTGGGACAGGGATTCTCAGATAGGTAGTAGACCCAGTATAAAGTCTAGTATCTCCAATATACCTGCTTTCCAAATAATGGTCCAAAATCTTTAACTGCCTGCATCAAAGCAGAAACAGATGGCATTCCCCCCCTCTCTCTATATATATATATATAAATAAAAATAAAATTTCATGTTAGACTGATTCATTGTATGGTATGGTATTATATTAATTGCACAGTATTGAAATAAAATAAATGAAAGTTCCACACCACCCCGTAGCCGAAGGTCTCTGGGCAGTACATAAAAACAATACAGTAAAATATAATACCGAAATCCTATCAGAAAAGAGACATATAATTAAAAACAGCTGAAAAATATAAGTGTAAAGAAACTGTATGAGAGAAAAACATCCGGGATGTGTGATCACATCAAGTCCCCAGATGTCCAGGTACGTCTTTAAAAGCCTTGGGTGCCCGGGGCCATCTTGACCTGGTGCCAACGCGGTGGCACTGCTGGGATCAGGTGGGCCATAGTGGGGAGATGGGGGGCCTCACGGAGAAGGCACTGCACTGGTCCCAGCTCTGGCTGCAGGAGTTCCATATACAATTTTAACCCACCTCTGAAATCCTGGAGGAACCCAAATAGGTACAGTTTATTTGACTCTTGGCTATTTTGTTGGTGTCCAGAAGTGACAAAGTACCTTAACAGCTAGGATATTTTGTGAATGGTTCTGGTAAATATATTACTGGTAGAAATAGCTCATGATTTGGGAAGATAAACATTACTTAATTTAAGTGTTTGGATTGAGGTTAACTGATGAATACCTTGCCAAAGATAATTTATTATTATGTTTATATACCACTCCATTGGTATAGGCTCTGGGCAGTGTGCAAGAGATTAATTAACATTTCAACTAAAAACAAGCATACTAAATAAAGCTAATCTGGGAAGGCCTCTGGGAAGAGATACATCTTTAATTCCCACTTAAACACGGGACATCTGACGTCTCTGCCCCAGCAGTTTCTGTGTTGCGCAGGATTCCTTTTTATAGTCCTCAAGCGCATTTTCAGAACCTTTGTGCAGCATGTTGGAAGTGCGTGTGGGCAGAGCCGGCCTCCAGGGCTGCATGGGGGAAGGTGCGGCTGCCAGTTAAGGGAGGAGGGATTTAATTTTTCCTACTTCGTTCGCTATATAAAGCTTACTTGTTAAACAGTCCAGAGTTAACCCAGCAACAAACCTTGGGCAATTGTTGGGTTAACTCTGGTTTTTTAACTCCTAAACAACCCAGAGCTCTGTGCTCAGGCATCACCCTGATCCAGTGATGGGCCTCTTGATGGAGAGTGAAAGTAAGGCGCGTGCTTGCTTGCTGTTGGCTACCCAGGAATTGTTGGTCCGCCTTTGTGGAAAAACCTGTTATGGTGGGAATCACACCAGATTTGCAGCTATCTCCCTGATAGCTACAGCACTGCCGATCAATAAAAAAGCTAATCTGAATCCTACAAAGTGGCAGTTTTAAATCCCATGCAAGGTTTGCGGTGTTTTTCCAGCCCAAGAGGAATCTGTTGCTATATGAACCAAAGCTGGACATCACGCTGCAAAACGTCTCCAGCTAGAAATGCAACTCCATCTCTTCTCTTTTGCAGGACGTGATCAGTCAGGTTCTGCCAGATGCAACAACCACTGCCTTTGAATGTGAGTCTCATTTTGGGGGGGGGGGGGCGATTGGGCCTCACTTTATTCATTTAAAAAAATGACATCTGCGTATAGTCATATTGTGTATGTTCAGATATGCTACAGTTAAATATTTATACATGAATGCATGTTTAATGATGCTCCCAAGCTAATGATATTTTATTATTTAATCACATCTTGAGAGCGTGTATTTCTACAATACCACTTTCATTACCAGCATGACCTTACCGTGCTCTTCGTATGTGTGGCAATTGTATCGCTCAAATTAAATGAAAAGTATAAAGTACCTGGAGTCTTTGTAGGCTGAGATTTTAATTTTCAGATTTATTATTATTATTAAAAGCAGAAATCAGTAGCTAGCATTTAGAAGAGTCGGTTCTACAAACACTGAAAGTTAGACTTGTTGCCGAAATGTCATATTCTCCAGATTCAGGTGGTCTCTGCCCTGAATGTCCTTTTGGTAGAATAGCCGCTGTGGTGAGCTTACCATGAAGTGCTGGTGTAGCTCACGAGCTGTGGGAATGTGCTCCAAGCGGGGTGTTTTGGGTTCGGGCCTCAGCTTAGCTGTGGCCACAGAGAGGAGCCTTAAGGAAGCGGCTATCCTTCTGTTGCTTCAGGGAGAAATGGTCTCAGGGACTTAGTCAAAAATGCTAAAAATGAAAATGCAAAACTCAAAATCCCAGTTTCCGCAGGCAGGTTCAGGACATTCAGGCGGGAATGCCATTTCCCTTCCCCAGGTTTTCTGCTCCTTTTCCTAAGCGATCACGTTTTTGTGTGCTTCACGCCTCTCTCCAGCAGCTCTCTCCTGTGGAGGGTAATACCTGGACTGGCCCGACTGACGGGCATGTTGTAGAGCCTGTGCTGAGTTAGTACATGTGATGTGCTGTGAACGTTGAGGGAAAGCCCCGTCTTGGTGTTCTGCCGTCGCTGGAGAAGCGTTTCCAGAGCGCGGACCAGGCTTTGAGGGTCTGGGGTTGGTCATGCTGGGGTCGTTGTTGGTGCGACCCCACCTGCTTCCTGCCCCCCGTCCCTTCTGGCCTTCCTGTGTGCTACTTTCGCCTTCAGTGAACCCTGCGTCCCACAAGCCGCCCTGCAGCCGGAGAGGTGCTCCTCTCCCAAGTGGAATCGGCCTGAAAAATGCAGGATTCATTGCTGCTGCTTAGCGTCTGCCGTGGCGCTTGCCAGCGCTTGTCTTTAGCCTGTCATTTTCCGTCAGCACGGCACGGTTTCCCTGCCATTTAAGTGGCATCAGAAATATGTTAGCGTGCATCGACGGCGCTTTGTTTCTGGGTTCCCCCCTCCATGCTGCAAGCTCGAGATTTACTAGTTTACACATCTTCACGGCTACTTGATGGCTTTCTTGGAGTCAGTTAATGGCTCTCCACAGCAGAATCCACTCATATTTGCTTACTTATCATCATCTCCGGTGAGTCTTCTCAGGCTGCCGGTACCTGGGGCTGTTTCTCCCCCACATCGGACCTTGATGGGCCTTCCACTGCTGTATGCCATGCTGCTACCAATAAAACGACTAACGACATATGGCTCGTTATGGTCCTTTTATCCCAAACCATTTTGCGCGCGCATGACACACTACGTCTTTCGCAAAGATTGCTCCGGAATATTTGGCTGCCATCTGCCGCGTTCTATTTGGTGTCTTGTGAGGATGTGACATTAGCAAAATCCAGGCTTCATTTTAGTTCTACTTTTACTTCCCTAATGGACTGTATGATCATGTTTGTGCTCTAGGCAAACAGAAGGCTTGGTAGACCCCTTCTAAACCTCTGCATTGCACAGAATAATTCGGAGGGCGTTTCCGTCTTTTCAGCGCAGTGGTAAAGAACCTTCCTGCTTAATCTGAGAAATACAGGCTCTGGAGTGTGTGTGTGGGGGGGTCCCCCCATCAAATACAAATTATGCTAATTTGTTTTAGACAGTCACGGCTTCTTTTAATACCCATCAACCGTCTGTCTTGTACATAAATGTTTGTGATATAAGAACAGGAAAGGCACTCCACTTCACCTGAGAATCCCAAAGTTTAGTGTCGCTTTTAGAGCTAATCTGTGGTAATGAGGTGCTTTCTAAGTTGCTTCTCAAATCCTGGCCCTTCTCGACAAAGCATTCCTCCAAGGTGTCTACATTAAAGGCTCTTTCCCATCCTGTTTTCTTTTTTTATTAGCTTTTTCGTTTTAGAGGCCGTGTGTGTGGAGAATTTCCATTGCATGGCTATTCTAATGACTTGTGTTGAAGACAGAAAAATATACATATGTTCGTATATTAAGTGGATGGTCTTGTGCCCCGTTTTCATAATGTGGGATTGTGTCACCGAGGCACAACCCGAGAACGAGGCTCAGGGAGGGGTCCCGTGTGCTCCCAGGCACCCCTCACAACAGCACCGTTCCTGTTGCAGCACCATCCGTGTGCGAAGGCTTCGCCAGGCCAGGCCAGGCCAGGCCCTCCAGGGGCAGGACGAGGGCAGCCGAGGAGAGCAGTTGTCTCTGCTGTTGTGTCTGGGAGCCTCTGAAGGAGGAATGGCCACCGCTTTCTGAAGCAGCCTTCTTGCTCCAGGACGCGTCAAGACTTCGCAGTGTCACAGCTTTTGCAGACCACACGGCTGCGTTATAACTCGAAAATTATATCGCCACTTAATTCGACCTGGAGAAAGTGAAATCATTCTTGAATTATTCGTTGTCCATAGTTGTAGCTCCTCAGCAGAGCTTCCGCAGGCATCACGTTCCTGCAGCTTGCTCTGCCTCGCATCCTCTTTCTTTCTCGCACGTCCTCGTCTGATGGGCTACTGTTTTTTCACACAGGCTCCTCTGAAATCGCTTTGGTTAGGAATACATCCTTTCATCCTTACTCTGTTTGGTTTTAAATTTCTCTGGGTCTGGTAAATGTGTGCTCTTCTTCTAATCGAGGCATCTAAACACAACGGGATTTATTTATTTTTGCAGATGAAGATGAAGATGGCGATCGGATTACTGTCCGAAGTGATGAAGAAATGAAGGCTATGCTGTCCTATGTATGTATATCTCATCCCTGCTTGGGTGGCCTGTAACCCATCATCCACCAACACAAGAGACTTTGAACTGGAGGCACATTTGTAGGATCGCGTGTCACTACTGAAATGTGGCCCGGCCTAACTCTCTGGAGATTTGTGATCCGCTTTATTAATTCCTCCCTTTTCTGAGAGTACCAAACGGTTAAAAGGCTGATGCTGGAATGTCTCTTTCTTTAATGCAGTATCGGTTGGAAGTGCTGGTGTTTGGCTCTCACGTGGAAATTTGAAGTGCTCTATTCTTTTTGGAAAAAAAGTACATTTACAGATTATACGATGAACATTAAGAGTGATGCATCCTAATGACTTTTGCAACAGATACAGTGCAAGCTAAATGGACTATCAATTTCTTCTATTTTTTATGCAGTACTTAAAGTAACGGCTCATTAAAAATGAACCCCTTGGCTCTAAATTTAAAAACAACCCTCCCCCCAAAATCTGCTTTCATCTAGAGACTTTTTCACCCCTTCTCTTGGAAGAGCTGCATTTTAGCTGCGGGCTTAAAATGCAGAGAAGATGTAAAGATGCGCTGCCTGTTAATAACTCTAAAAATATGAAAACAAGGCTACTTGCTGAATTGCAGTGACTTATGTATATCTTTATAAATGACTGTCCTTTGTGTTTTATAAATGAGTGTAAGTTTAGTCATTAGCATTTATTTTCAATTAAAACAGAGGAAAATGATATTATTCAGTGATCTTCCACATCTTTTATTTTAAAGACAGTAACGATTGACAGTTCTTTTTCAAAGCAAGCCTGAGTTTTGTATTCTGTCATCCCAGCAATTCCTTATGCACAGGGAGTTCTCAGCACTCACCCAGAACTTCCATTGGTGTGGTGGATTTCCAGGAATGTCAATGAAGAGGGATCAATGGGGAATACATTTCCGCCATCCCTGCCACTGAAGTAAATGGACACACTTATGCATGCAGAAGCTCTGCAGATGTGGTCCTAAAAGTGTTTTGAAGATAGTTCTTCCAGAGGTCAGGTCTGTGTCCAGGCCTCCTCCTGCACAGAGGGTGGCCCTTTGACCTCTGCAGGAGGGCATTGGTGGCAGACGGTGGCATATTTAACATTGGAAGCTAAACTTCTCGCCTTCAGCACAGGAGATCAGTTCACAGGGACAGAGCAGGGACAGGTCTGTGTGAGTCCAACGGCTGGAGGATAACGTGCTTTGGCAGCCCCCATCCTTCAGCTGTGGGCTTACATAATCTGGTGTCCTGGACCCTGCACGTGCCCACCTGAGCTAGGTGCCCACTTGTGACTGCAGTTTTTGGCATTCGTAGACTCTGATTCTCCAAGGCAGTTCAACCTTCTCTGATGCGGAAAGGGGTTCTCCTGGCAAAGGTCAGCCAGCCAGGCAGCCGCAGGGCATTTCCGGCACATTTTCTAGAGATGGACCTGGTGCTACTGGACATAGAATCCTAGAAGAGTAGAGCTGGAAGGGGCCCTGAAGGCCATCAAGTCCACCCCCTGCCGGTGCAGGACACCCCGTTACACCTTCCCGCTCAGAGGGCTGCCCAGTTTCGCCTTGAATGTCTCCACGCAGCTGGCTCCACTGTCATGTTGCTCTGACAGTGAGGAAGCTTTTCCTGATGTCCAGCCTGAATCTGGGTTGTTGAAGCTTGAATTGATTATAAGTTCTGCACTCTGGCATCAGCCAGGAGAGATCTTGACCATCCTCTTTGTGAGAGCTTTTGAGGGACTTAAAGAGGGATATCAGCCCCCCCACACCCCAGTCTTCTCAGGAAATAGACATCTAGTCTTCCTGGGTCTTTCTGGTCATGATGGAGTTGAGAGGCCGGTTCTTTTTCTGAGAGTCCTCAAATGCTTGGTGTGCTGGTCTTTCTGCAGCAGGTATCCTGAACTGCATCAGGCTGGACATGCAGTTTGAGAAGTTGCAGCCTGCAGGTGTAACTGCAGCTGTGTTCTTGAGGGCTTTCAGAGTAGGATGGGATATTTCCAAGACTGTTCCAAGAAAGCTTCTAGATGTTAACATCTAAGTGGAAAATAAATGGCCTAATACAAGTGAGCTTTGGAGAAGGCTCTGTGATCAGAAGAAAATGCAGACTTTCACCTAACTCGCATCTTCTGTCACTAAACGTTGCCACAAGCTGTTGAAAAGTGAGACCGCACTTTTCTGTGTAGACTGCAAAGCTTTCCTTTTAAAAAAATAAAAGCGCATTTTAGAAGCCAGATAGTGCGATCATTAAAATGAATGTCTTATTGTGCTATTGCTTAATTAAAAAGAGGCATTAAATGACAAGGAGCTGGACCAGCACTGTTGTCTTCTATTGGTATAAAAAGGCAGTAATTTTTCTGACAGCCACTGATTGGAAAGTTGCTTGCAGCCATCTGGAAGCAAAGGGTACATGTTTTGGATCAATAACTGGCAAATTTTCCATTAAAAAGAATACTTGAACAGGGTTCCAAATAGCCACTGGCATCTTAACTTTCCATGGCAACCTCCAGTGCTTATATGTGGAGGACAAATCATTTTTGGACAATTTTTCCAGACTACTTGTTAACAGTTATTGCTGTCCCAAAAGGGTGACAGCTGACATGATTGATATTTCATTTACTTGTCATCTCTGTCTGAGTGATGGAGATGGCCACATTGCTTTTTTATTTTTAAAAAACCACCGGGCTCCGTCTGCCGGCAGCTGCTCTGCTGCTCGCCCCTGTGGGCGAGTGGGGTGGAGTTGTGGAAGGATCCCATTCTGAAGCTGGAGTTAAGCCTTGGAGCATGTTCGGGAGAGCAGGCCTTGGCGCCAGCACCCTTCTACTCTGCTCCTCCAGGGCCCAGGTACAGGGGCTCAAACCTTTCCTTGGCTCAGGTGAGCCAGCAGCTTCCTGTCTTAGTTCCATTACAACTAGAAAGCGCTTTGTTGGACCAGCCCCAAGGCCTGGCTGTCTCCAGTTCCTCTTTCCAACATTGGTCAGCCAGATGCCTCTGGAAATCTTCAGTCGGCCAGTGGGCAGGAATTTAGGCACCATCCCCGCTTGTCCTCTCCTCCTCGTGCTTGGAGGAGGTTCCATCCCTGGTAGGGATGTCCATGCATCCATTTAACGGCTTCAAAACAGCAGCTGTGGCCACCTCTTGCCCTGTTCCTCCAGGGGAGCAAAATAAGGTGCCGCAGACCTGTTGTGTGAGCTTGCAGTGAATGCAGCTCTGTGTGGAAACTGGTGCTCCGTGTGGGATGCCGAAATGGTCTGTAGCAGTGTAAGCAGTGGCAGGCAGGGTCAGCAGGAATTATCCTGGTGTGTATCCTCCTGAGAAGAGCGCCGAGAGGCTTTTTTGGCTAAGGGCGGAATAGAAATTAAATAAATCAACAAGAGGAAAACCGGTCCAGGTGGGCCGTGCCCACCGAGTCCATGGAAATGGGGCTGACTGCACCCCACCCACCCGTGGCTCTCCCTCGGACTGCCTAGCGACGCTGGCCACCATGAGGGGCTGGCCCGCATGGACACCCCCAGCCATGTCACCAGCTAGATGTTCTCGAGAAGTGTGAGTGTTGGATTTGGGCCAGGCTGTGCCAGAACAGGCAGCCTTGCAAAACCACCCGGCATGCGCTTGTTAGGCTGAGAGGCCCGAAGTGCGGCAAGGATGTAGGTGGACGGGGGTCCTTCCGCATCCCAAACCCTTCCCTCGTCTCTCCTCCTGGAGGGGTCCAGGCAGGGCGCTGGCACCCTTCCCACTGCCGACAACCAGCAGGCCAACAACACCAACAGCGGCAGATCCGTCTGGCCTTCCTCTCCCCCCGTTCAGGGCATAGCGAGCCCCCCTTGCCCGATAACCCCAGCCGTGGCTTCTGCGAACAGCGTGCTGTCGCTCTGGCCGAGAACTGCCTGGCAGGTGAGCGAACGGGCCGCCTGCCTCCCGCTTCTGCTCCGTTTCTCTTTCGCTCTGCGAAGCGGTTTCCTTTCCGGGCTGCTTGCCTGAGACTGCTCTGAGTCAGGGCAGAAAGAAGCACAGACAAGCGAGGGGTCAGCTGCCGCTCAGGGTTCAAGCCCCGCAGCCAGGCATGCTTTCAGCCATTTTGTGTTTGTGGTTTGCTTAAGATGCGTGGTTTGTCTGCAGGCCGAATCACGGCACGGGGCACGCAGACCGCAGCCTGGCGTAGCCTTGCGTGCAAGCCGTGCCCGTCTCCTGCAGCTGCTGGAAGAGTCGGCGTCAGCACTGCCACCGACAGGGTGCCGCGGCATGTGTGAATTCAGAAGGCTTGCGAACGCGGTAGCCCGTCTGTGTACAACACCACGTGTGACCTCTCTCTCATCTTTTTGCAGTACTGCACCACGGTGATGGAGCAGCAAGTCCACGGGCAGCTCACAGTGCCTCTGCAGATCTATCCCAGAGGTAATGCTTCCATAATTTCTAAGCCTCCGATGACATTTGAGAAGAGAGCATCAGTAGTTATATTTTCTGGAAGTTCAGAAGCGCAAGATGTCACATGCATGTTGTAATGTTGGTCCGAGGAATCCATTTTTTTTTGAGAAGTGGCAATTCCTACAGAGCAAATTAAGCTGATGAGACTGAGTTGCGTTGTGGAACTAGAATGCGCTTAAGAACGGGTGTGGGGCATGCCAGCCCAAAGCAAAAGCGCGTTAGTGAATCCGGGCCTGCGCAGCTCTCAGCCACCAAGCAAACCCCCTTGGCTCACCTTGCTGCTCCCTTCCTGGCAGTGGGAACTCTGACGAGGCCCTGAATTAAGGGGTCCTTTTCAGCTCCCGTATACGGACGTGCTATATAATTTTGGCCATTACTTAAGCATTCCCCGTTTCCCCTCTCTGAAAGTGTGGTTAATTGCTGAAAGTGAGCTGGTTTTGAATTCTCCAAGTAAATCTCCTTGCAATCCATTAATTGGAATAAATAAAAATTAAAACATTCCTCAGTTAAGTGATGCTTTACAAATAATCATAACACATGCTTCCTGGTTAAAACTCTGTAGACTTTTCATTACTTAGGACTCCCTAAAGTTTGAATTGGGCAATTAACCAACAAGATCTCTAACAAATGCTAATGAGTCCGAGGGCACCGGCAGCAGAATCTTGTGCTCGGAAGAGAACGCAGGCTTCGAGCAGGGATGTACAACCTTCTTGAAGTCGAGGCCTTGCTTTGGCACCTCCGACTTGCACGCCCCTCCCTCTGCTCTTCCCCAGTGTCCCAGTTCCTTTCCTTAATGCCACGGAAAAAAGCACCGTGGTTCAGAGGACATGGAAGGTGAGCTGAGGGATGCGCATGAGCATCTTTTGCAGGATGCCCTGGTGGCCACACCCCGTGGTCCGGCCCTGAGCTTGTCCGTGCTCCTGCCTCTCCTGGCTCCCCACTGCCTCTCTGGATGTGGAGGCTGCCTCTGCTGGGATCAAGGGAGGAATGGGAGAGCCAGAGGACAGAGCCAAGGGCCGAACGTGGCGCTTGGGCCGCTCCCTCTGCTTCAGAGCGCCAAGGACATTCCTTTTCATTCTAGGCTCGAGGAGCATGGATTGCCTGCAGGTCCTGCTGTGGGATTGCCAAGCCTTTTTCAGTAATGCCCAAATACGGCTGGAAAAAGATCGGCTTGTGTTTAATGTCGCTCTGAGACTTGGCTCCCGTTTTGGGAAAGCACCTTTCAGAGTGACTCTTCTCAGCCTGCAAAGGGGAGCAAAATAGTGTAGAAGCAAGCACAGAATCGGTTAATGCAGCCCATTGGACTGACAATGTTTTGTTTGGTTTTTTTAGTTAAGGCATTTTTTAATCTTTAAGGGTTGCACCCTCACAAAACGATCTACATTCAATCGGAAAGGCAAGAAACCGAGACCAGAATTGCCGCATTAGCAAACTACAGGATACCATTGAGAAGCTGCCCTCAGATGCACACGCTAATTATAATATCAGATTAAATGCTGTAATGAAGAGGAAGATCTTCGGGTCCCAGCTGACCACCTGTATGGAAGGGGAAGGCAAGAGGAAATGAGTTCCACAGTTTTGGAACCACTGCCAAGAATGCCTCGTGTCTTCTGCTTGCTAACCCAACTGCTCTTAGCCGCAGAGACGAGTCCCCGAGGTAGTTCTTAAAGTATTGGCAGAACTGAGCAGATGCGGGCGGTTGCTCAGATAACCTGCTTTCAAGCCAGTTTGCTTTTATGTAATCCAGTGAAGGACAGAGTCAAGCCAATCGAGCAAGTTCCTGTTTCCTTACAATAATGCAGCTTAAGTGTAACAGGAAGGCAGGGGCTGCTGGGGAGGCACCTGAGGGAGAGAGATTCTTGTGATCACCTGCTAGTTTGTTCCCAGCTTTACCTAGTGCTTTGGCTTCTTAAGGAAGAAGCAGTCCAGAGTTTTTGCCCATGGTTTGTTCCTGGGTTGTTCCATAAACCAAAAAACAAGGCGGGTACGCACACAGACATGGCCCAGCATTCGTTGCTCCGTTGTCATGCCATGAGAATTTTATCCCTTGCCGCCCAGGGTGCCTCCTCTTGCAATCCCTCCATTTTTCATTTCCCTGGTTCTGGTATTTAAATAATTACTGGCTTACGGCTTAAGTATAAACCTGGCTGAGTTTTGGTGCCAGCGTATTCCTGCACAGAAAAGGAATACCACAGCTGCTATCATTTTCATTGGACATCTTTCCCATCTTCCACATAGACCCATCTTCTGCATTCAAACAAGCAATCCAGTATTCTTATTTAAGAATATAATAGTAATGTTTAATGTAGTTTAAATTACATGAGCCTACTCTAGCTGCTGTGTTTAATAACTATCATCTGTGTCCCTTTGACTAATAAATCGCTTTGTTTCCTGCTGTCAAAACCAGGAGTGAAATACATGTATTTCAGAGGAAGGGGGAGACGGGGGCAGACGACAACCAAATTCATCCTTTCCCAGACAATCAATCAAAATTGACAGGCCCTTTACCATACAATTTGTAGGGCACTGTAGTTCTAAAATGGGAACTGTCTGAAACATCTAGCTCAGAGCCTTGCAGCTTTAACATTTGGCAAAAGTACATGCGTTGCTTGGAGTGGAAGAGGGCAAGGCAACACGGAATTCAAGGGGGTTAAAGGAAGTCGTTTTTCCTGTACTGCAGTAGTTCTTCTTTAAACTTAAATTTAATAAGAGCCTGTCAGATCATCTCCATTTATAATGTCCTTGGTCTTTGGGACCCTCAGATGCTTGAGTTTTGTTCCTAGCTTTTTATTTTCCATAAAAAGCAAACCATTGGTTGGTGGGGTGTGTGGCATGTAGATATTTATTTATTTATTTGTTTATTTGTTTGTTTGTATTATTTCTATAAAGCTAAATAGGAAGGAAAAATCCTTAGAGTGATTTCCATAAAAATAGTAAAATCGCCATTTAAAAACAAATCACATTTTAGTGATTATTTTAGATCTGCTAGTGCCTTTCCTCTGCATTGAGTTTGGCCACCTCTCCCAAATACAGTATATTCTGAAAAAGGTCCAGCTTAACGGTGTGAAAAAAAGCAGTGGAAACAGAGGAGTTATTAGAAGCTGCAAGACTGGATGTTGCTTAGCAGTCCTCTTGATTCTGTTACCTTAGAGTACATGTCAGAAAGCATCTTACAGGGCTGTTTTAAGTGCACTAATGTACATTTAGAAACTCTGCTTTATAATTCTTGCTTTGGGTTTTGAGAGCCACTTCACAGCTATTTCTCTCTGCTAGTTTTTGTATCGCCTTCATTAAAAAAAATCATTTTGAACAAATTTGTAAATGGCCCTGATGTGTTCTACAATTTAGTCAATTACTGTTTCAGCCTGCAAACCTCCTGGGAAACGGAACATACATGGCCTGAAGGTAAGAATTTCAATAATTGTTTCAGTAAACTTAGATGGATTTGCAATGCTGTGTTCCACTTATTGAAATGTCAAATAAAACTGCACATTCTGTGCCTTGACAAGCAGATTTTTTTAAAAAAAAGCGGAGTGGAGGAAAGATTCCTTCCATGCGGTGTTGTCTGCCCTCTTTGAATACTTTCTGCTGGTGTGTTTCCAAACGGAATTGATTCGTTTCTTGCTTTTGTCGTACAGTTCTTAAATGCATAAAACCGAAGAGGTTTTCCTGTGCATACCCCATCCAAAGGTGAAAGCTGTGTAGGAGCTGCGCTCTGGAAGGGTCCTAAGGATCTATGACCAAGAGAGGCGATAACATTGCTTTGATTAAATTACTCTGGAACAGTCCCCATCTTGTGTCAAGTGCGTGTTTAACTTCCATTTTGCTGAGCCACGTCTGTGTGTTTCCTTACTTTGAATGACAAATTGCGCACGAGGGGCAGAGTTTGCCACAGCCTAGACAAATGTAATTGATATATTATTGCAAAAAGATTGCAGGGAGGGGAACGAAAGAGAGATGTATTTAATAGGAACAGAACAAAATCCTTATTGCGTGTCTGGATTTGATTGCATTACTTAACCAAGCATTTCAAACGTGGAGTGAATAAAAGGGCAGGATTCCTCAATAACGCAATGTGGTAACCTACATAGAGACTGGATTTCTACCACGGGCAACTAACTAATTAACCTTCCCAGCGAAATAGGAAATTCATGGCAAATTACAGGTTAATTAGAACCATGTCCTCTGAATAGAAACAACTGATAAAGATTCCGTTCCTGCCCGCAGGTAAACACACGAGCCGGTTCTGCTAACAACAGTGGTGCAGCCGTCCCAGACTCCCTTCCAGCCAATAGGTAAGAATCGAGGGGAAGCGTGGAGGCGTCCTTTATTAAAGCAAAGCTGCCGAAGTGGTTTCTGCGTCGTAATTAACAGAAGCACAACGGGGAAACGCTGGATAACTTTGGGGGACCAGTTTCCAGCAGGATTTTTGTGGCTCGTGGAAAGCAGGGTTGGTCTCTGAACACACTGCCCACTGAGGGCCTTTGGACAGTCTGCTGTTACCAGGATTCCTCTGCGAAGCTGCCCCAGTTCAGAACAGCGACTGCAGGGTTTACCTTCCTGATAAAATGGCTCCTTTTTACGCACCGAGCAGAAGGGGGTTCTGCATAAATGGGACCTGCTGGGCAGTCCACGTGAGCCGCGGTGGGCAAGGGCCCAGGATGAGGCTTCCCAGTCCTTGCCTAGCTCTGGATTCGCTGGGTTGTTCTGAGCAAGTCGCCGTTTTTTAGCCTCTCAGTAGACGCTGTAAAATGGGAATATTAGTGGCAGCCCGGCAAAGGTTGCAGGTCAAACAGGATGACGAGAGTACAATGCAGTGCAGTAAGTTCCCTAACGGTTCCCTTTCCCCTTTCTGAAATATGTGAGGCGGACAATGCCATCCTGCTGTGATCTGTTCTAATTAAAATAAGTGGCAGCAAAAGTTCTCGTTCTTGTCAGTCACTGGAGAGCTAAGGAGAAGAGGGGGAAAGATGGGGGGTCGCCTGAACCAGCTGGAGGCAGGAGCAAGAATTGTGGCCGGGGGATTCTACTAACAGGTGGGAGAAGACATGGAGACATGGGCGCGGTTTCAGGACGTGTGGACAGCTTGGCTGCTGCAGGCCGAAGGGAAGGGAGCAGTCCAAGATGGGCAAACCTGCAAGATTACATGCGTGCGAGTTAGCACGTCCCCAGGGAGACGGAGTGGGGAGCTAAACAGTTACGAGTTCTGCTTCTAGTTCAGGGCATCTGTCTTGCTGGCAGTTCTCAGGAGAGAGAGCGAGAGAGAGAATGAGAATCAGACCATTTATTTTGCCCCACAATTCTGCCAGGCGTGAGAGTGAGCCAAGGAGGGAGGGCCAGAACAGTGGGCTTCCTTCAGTGTCAAGGCGGGCAACTTGTGGCCCCCGTCCAATTTCAGTCTCGTTTTGCGAGCCCTCGGCATGCCGTCCGTGCCGTGTCCTTCCTGGAGGGGCCTTCCTCCGAAACAAGCAGCACTACAGAGCCGCCCGTGCCAGGGGGGCGTCCTGGGGCCCTGGGTCCTCGGCAGAGTCCGCCCCCGTCTGGCCGCCGTGCGGGTGGAAGAGTGCTCTGCCTCTGAGTGGGGCCTCCAAGGGACCGCTCAGCCTCGGGTGGAGCTCTGCCTGCCCGGGCCTTCTGTTTTAGCCTGCCTCTTGAGCCTTTGTGGCCCAGCCTTTCCTTGTGAGCGGCGCTCTGTGCCACTGACCCTTGGACTCCCGCTTGACTCTGCTTTCCGACTTCGGCGTTTATCTGACTGCTGAATTATCCTTTCATCTTGGCTTGTGCCTCGACCGCTCCTGCCGTAAGCTGACCCCTTACCGGACGGAAACCTTGGTGCTTGACCATTTGCTCTTCCGGCTGCCTTTCTTTCCGGATCGCCCCACCACGTGCTGTCCAAATCAGCCATGGCCACTCAAACTCTGGCTAGGACAGTTTGTCCTGCGGTGGCAGATGGATGGTGGGAAGGAGCAGAAAGAGAGACAGAGAAAAGGGGGGGGGGGGGGAGAAAGGGAAAGAGGCGAGCCACTTGCTCTGGGCTCTTGCCCTGCCCACCCTCAGTGTGTCCCCCCAGCAGATTAGCTGCAAGGGAACGTGCCCGCCACAGGAAAGAGGTCGTCCTGCCTTGCTTTAATGCAGCCTTCCCCGACCTGGTGGCCCTCAGAGGCGTTCGGACTGCGCTTCCCAGAATTCCCATCTGGCAGGGCCATTGACCAGGAATTCTGGGTGCTGCAGTCCAAACATATCTGCAAGGCACAGGGTTGGGGAAGGATGCTTTAACGCAAAGGTGTTTTCAAAGCTGTGATGAGGAATGATGGGTGTCAAGGAAAAGACACTGGTGGGAAATTGGGGTGAGTTACCAAGGTCTGGGGCTGGGAACCCCACACGCATGAGGAATTGGAGACAGGAGACAGAACGAAAGGTTTGGGAGTAATTTTTCTGTGACCTGTTATGCTCGGGAAGTGCTGGGAGATGGATACCTTTGTCCATAAGCAAGCCAAACGAACCGGGAAAGATTTTTGTATAGTTGTGATTGCTCTCCAAGTATCTTATGATCCCATCTAGCCTAGTCCAGGAGAAACAAGTCTGCGTTGCGTTTCTTTAGAGCTGGACTGGCCTGGAGTTTAAAAGCACAACTACTGCTTAGCAAAAAGGGAAGGATCCTTACTAAACTATTAGGAATATAACTTAGGTGATCAAACACCTGATCCCTCCTAGTCAAACTTTACAGCTTTCCCTCCGCCCCCAGTTCTGCGGTTGTTTGTTTTCCCTGCATACTTTGAGTGGGTTCTGAAAGCGCCCTATAAGCGAATCCTTGAGTCGAGGCTGACATCCAATGGGGCAGTTAATTGACTTTTGCATGAGGAATGACTGTTTTGAAGTCCTTGGCAATCTTCCCCCGTTTCATGTTCACAAGAGTGTGGCTGCAAGCGATGACAAGATCAGCAGACATTTCATTTGGCAGAGTATACTTTCTTTAAAGTAGTACGGCAAACAGGAGGCTTATTAAAGAACAAAGGTACCACATACATGTGTTTTATTTTCAATCATGATCAGTGGTGAAGACAGTTGTGCTTGTCAAAACTATATCTTTCCCTTTTTCTTTTCTTCCTTCAAGTTTCAGGCGTGTCTTGCTTCTGGCTTCTGTTTTTCTGTGGTTCTTGGCTAGCGTGATAGTTATTTAACATCTGGGGGCACCGTCCGGCGGGAAGTTCTGTTGTGCAAGCCCTACTAAGTCGGACAGGGTCTACGCGAAGCAACTTTTTTGTTTACAGATGTCCAACGTTCTGCTGCATTGTGGTGATTTCACATCCCAAAGCCTCAAATGGGTTTTGGTCATGTAGGGTTATCCTGCTAGCACTCTTGTGCAGCATTGGTCCTTAAATGGATTCGACATGTTCATCTCAACTGTGCCCATTTCACAGGTGCAGAAAGTGAGCCAAAGACTGCTTCGATAGAATCGGAAATTAGGCCTTGCCCCACATAGCCGCTGCATCACTTCCACTTTCCCGTTATTCTTCCCTTCCCGCCAGCCCTTCAGGGAAGTTCACATTTGGCTGGTAGATGCTGGAACAGAAGCAAATCTGGATCTGGAGAGGAGACGGAGAGAAATGGGATAAATCTGTCAGGGCAGCCTTTTCATAATTCTGTGTGCTGATTTAGGCTCTGTGTTCATGCAACTGTAGTCACAGGCAGGTGCAAGGCAGCCAGTACCATCTTTTTAGCTAGGCATGAGTTATGCTTCTGTTTGATCATTCACAGCTGCACAATCTCTAACTACAACTCTTCCCTGCTTTTCCTTTCCAATTCTTCAGTTTGAAGAAGTCCTCTGCAGAACTGAAGAAGATCCTAGCCAATGGCCAGGTAGGTACCTTGGACTGGGGCGCGGTGCAAGCAAGACGGGTTTCCGCAGGGATGCAGAAAAGCCCCCCCCCCCCCCCGTTCTCAGATAGCCTCAGAGCGGGTTGCTGCTCACTTATTAGTAATGTGTTCTTTTAATAAAGTAGCAGAGAGGTTGTGAAAGAGCTCGTCTTGTGAGGAGCCTCGGCCTTGATTGATTTGGATTGGCACACCAATTTGCTTTCCTTTTCTCAAAACGCACTAATCAGATTTAGCTCCAGATAGATTGAAATGCCTTTTGCACCCGCCGTCGTTCTGCTGCCTCAATTTAGGGGAGAAAACTTAATCAATTTTGATAAGCAAAATAGGATTTCTGGCTTGTTAGATCTTTGCATATAGGCTTAAACACGCGTGCTGCCGAGGGCTGAGTAATGAAGGTGGAAGGAGAAGGGGTGTGCAGCCACTTCCTTCGGAGCCCTTGTAGGAGGGGGGGATCATAGCTGGCTTCCTGGCCTCCCTTCCTCTGGTATCTGCAATTGAATGCGGGAGCCGCACGATTGATGGGCCAATGTACCCCTCAGGGCATGTACTTCCTGCCCAGTTTTGATTCGGACTGGCAGGGACGGCCCAACATAGCATAATGACTTTAAATATACACCACTAAACGAAAGTACCTGCAAGGCAGTGGGATTCTTCAATAGCGACATAAATAAGTTTTAATGTGTGTCATGGTGAAAGCCCTTCGACAGCCTTGGAGGCAGGGGCACCTGCCCACTGCGCTCTAGCCTGCCTATTAGACACTATTGACTGAGACGTCCGTGTCACCGCAAATAAAAGACTCTTATTGATTTTCTTAACTGCTGTTCACTTCCCTTCCATGTTGCGAAGGCTGAAATCTTAATTATCTCAGATGCGTATTCAGTGCCTTCACACAGTGACCTCTCCAAGCCTCATTGGCATTTCATGAATCAAGTAGTTGTAGTTGAGCGTGTCAAGAAGATAAAAGCCGGTCTTCCCGCTTGTCCTTCAGCGGATCACCTGTAACATTGTGCTCTTAATAGATGAGAGTGGTCCCACCGGTGTCACCCGCATTGCAGCTTTGCTTATTTGTGATCAGCGTTGTTTAAATAAAACTTAGGAATATGGATGCCGGTTCTTCTTTTTTAGGCATAGATTGTGGCTCTTCCTTTAACGTGAGATACGGAATTTCTTTTAAGCTTCTTTACAAAATCAGCAGCTTTTAACCCATGCCCAGGATTTTATTTAATCTTTCACAAATGCTTTTCTGCAGTAAGTGGACATAGAGGGTGGAGGAGACGGAGAAGGTATAATTGGGGAAACAGCATTTAGACTTCCTGTCTGAGAACAGGTGTGCGTTAAATATCCTTAATGGAGTTAAGAGGATTTTCAGCGTCTCATGGCAGAAGGTGCTCTGCGTCGGTTACTTTGGGGCCACCCTCACGCAGGAGTGTGGCGCCAGGTGGCGAATATGGAGGCCTGCCGAGCGAGCGGCATCGGGATGCCTGAGCCGCGCTGTGTTGGGCTCGCTCGGTAAATAGTGGCACGGATGGCTGCCCGGGGGGGGGGGGGGACTTTGCCTTCCCTCTGTGTTGGGTGCGCTGGCCCGCTGTCCTTCCAGGCATTCCGGTGTGTGCCTGAAGTTCTCTCCATCACTGGTCGCTTAGTGGAGCAGCGAGGTGGCAGCGCTCCTCCCCGCCGCCCCACCGGAGGAAAGCGAGGGAGCCTCCTTGCACAAGGGGGAGCGTGCGGAGTTTGGGGGTCCTCGTACCTGTGACCCGCGCAGCGTTTATGCCGCTTCAGGTACCTCCTGGTGTCAGTCAGAGCTAGACAGGGACATAGGTGTGCTGGGGCCCTGGACAACCGGGCTTCCTGTGTGCGTGTGGCGCTTTTCGTACCGTCGTGGGCTCTGCTTAATATGCAGGTGCAACACATACAAGCCCCCTTTTTTTCCTTTGGTGTAACATAAAAAAATACAGTTTGGTGGTTTCAACCACACTTTAACACAAAGGGTGCTTTTTTAAAAAAATGCATGTTTTTTTGCAACTTCTGCTTAAAAGCATTAATAAAGACAGTTTTCCCTGATAGCCTCCACTTAGGTTTAATAAGGAATTCATATTAATCATTAAAAGAAAGGGGATGTGATTCTTCAAGATAATCAAATATTGACAGGTTAGAAATAGCTTTCTCCCTAGGTTCATTGATATAGGTTATGTGATATAAATATTTATTTCTTTCCTGTCACTCAGAGAAAATGCCGCCCATTGATTCTGCATTGATGTAGTGTCAACAGTTCATAAGAAACATTTGACTGGTTCGTGTTTTCCGATTAGTCTCGGCTCCATAAAGTGGGATTTACTAAATCTCTTGAATTGTCTGCTCATACAGTGTGACTGCTTTCTGAAGCCATTAGGACTTCGATTGGAAGAGAGGAGGTATCGCTTATGGGGCCAGACTTCTCTTAGAGCCTTACGTATCAAATAAGAATTAATTGAGCATTTTTGTTTCTAATGATTTATAAGAGATGCATGCTCCTTCACGCCAAGACAGCAGATACAAGCGAGTGGGGGGGGGGGCGGGGGGGTTGATCCATAATTGCGTACCCTTTCACTTGCCATTTGTTCTGCTCCTATTAACAGCCAGTCAAGATTCCTTTGCAAAAGTTAATATTCCAGCCCTTGCTAGGAAGTTGCAGTTCCAATTTGATCATGGCCCCCAGTACCCCGAGTGCAGCAGACAAATTGCTAGCACCTCAGATGCCTCTCTGCGTGGATAAACTGGGCAAAAGAGAGCTTCAGCCCCATTCCGAGGGATCTAAGGTTCTACCCAGGCAAAGACGGGCCAGGCTATGGCGCCCGCCTCCACCCTGCCATGTGGGTCTGATTTGCAGGGCCTTGGGGACTTCTTGGAAGAAAACAAATCCTGTAGCTGAACCGTCGTTCTGCTGGCTTCAGCAAGGCCATCGGCCCATGCTGCTTCCAGAGTGACCCAAAGACGGTGGCTGGGGCAGGCGGGGATGCCTCAGGAGAGCTGGCCCAAGGCAGCTGCCTCCGTCCTGGGCTGGGGCTGGGGCTGGGGCAGTGTGGGGCTCGCATGCTGCAAGGTGCGGCGACCTTCTCAGGCAGCGGGTTCCCTGCCTTGCTAGGGAGGGTGCAGAGGAGACATTCTCGGTGGATCGTACTCCCTGTTAGGTAGTGTGAAAGCGGGACAGAGGAATTCCGTTTGGACCGCTTTGGTCAGGGCACAGGACGTGGCAGGCCAGCCCACTGCATCGTGCACCTGTTTGCCGGGTGTGGATTCCTCAGCTTGGTCCACCATCATTTCCATGCATGAGGAGCTCCTCAAGGATGCGCGGTGAAGAATGCGTCTTCTAGTCTAGGGGATGGTTGCGGGAACAATGAAGTCCTTTAAAGACAGGTGGCTTTGGTGAGGCCTTGGGCTTCGCATCACAGGACCAAGGGCTGGTTAAACCAACTGGGGTCAGAAAACTCTTTTCAAAGTCCCAGCACCATGGTACTTGTGAAACCTTGGCTGGTCCTCCCAGAATCGAAGCTCACGTAATTAAGTCTCAAACGGCTGTTCTGCAGTGGCATTCGCTTCTCCGTGTGGATATGATTGTTTGTAGTGATGCAAATCTGAAGAGTTTCCCTTCTGAACAAAGGTAGATTAAAGCAAGTGACCTGCATCATAATTTGTTGGGGAAACTTTTCCAGTGCAAGCTCTTTGGAAATTATTGGCATTCGCTCAAGGGATGTTGTGGCTTGTTCAAGAGGCAGTGAGCTTGCCCTTAGATATGTGCATGCGTGGCTCTAGCCATGGGGCAAGAAGACGTCCAGCTATGCCTTCTAAACTCCTGAGTCTAGATCGCTTACACGCATCGAATTTGCTTAGGCCCAGCCTTAGCTCAGGAACAGCATGATTTCTCTCACTAGCTGCTGTTCCTCGGCCTTAAATGCAGAGAGGTCTTCACAAACAATCCCGTAACGTAAGCCTGAATTTTGATTCATGGCTGTCTATTGTGTATTAATTAATTTCAATATATTAAGTTTCCCACAACAAACTTAGCAGGCAATTTAGGTGAAGTCCACTTTTGTGCCTTTGGGCTTTGGATGATCACAGATTGCCCGAGCTTTAGACCAGAACACTCAGAGAAGGAAAAAACATTTCCCTGGATAAATAACCATTGTGCCGTAGTCCAGCAGAGAGCATTTTAAGCTTGGCTTTTGTGGCCCTCAAGCAGATTGAAAAAACAACCTCAGCATGCAAACTCCAGTTCCTTTTCCTGAGCAGTGGGTGTATCAGGGTTTCGTCTCCCTTTACATGGCTATGTTCATGTTTTAGTCCATTTTCGAAACTACTGCTACTTCCTCCGGTGCTCAAGTGTCATGACTGGCACTTGGTCTTCCAGACACAGTGCGGAGGGCTGCCTCTGACCCCAGCCTTGGGGCTCCGTGGGTGTAACAGCGCCGACCGCGGAACGGATGTAGCTGTAAATGTGGTCAAGTGGGAAGGACGGGGGACTGGGCAGCTGGTTCTCAGCCAGCCTCCCTGCCACAGAGAGCCTGGCTCTTGCCGCCCACGCTGCGCCAGCGGCTTTCCCTGCACGCTCTGGTCAAGCCCGGAAGCCCTTCGCCAGTGCACTGGCCTGGCAACAAGTGGGCATTCTCCTCCTGGCGACCCCTCTGGCTCCCGGACTCCGTTGTGCGTGGGCAACAGCTGTGGCTGTGCCTCAGGTCAAGCGCCTGGCCAGAGGGCTTGCCAGCCCCCTCCCCAACCAGGCCTTGGTGATCCCCCTGTCCCCAAGACCCCTTTTCCCTCTCCCGGTGTGTGATCTGCTCTTCTTGAGCTATGTTATCATTCCATTTTGACACCTTTTATCAAACTTTAATGAAATGACCCAGGCAAACAAATTGTCATTAAACTTTCCATCACTTTGTCCCTTGGTATTGTCTTTTATAAATTGGACAGCAAATGTTGTATTGATCTCCTCGTTCTTGCAGCTGAACTTGAAATGACCCAGACGGCTGGTTGTTTATGGCCTAGAGTTGCTTTTCCTTGACACTTCCATCCACCGCATGACACCTCTTTTGTTTTTCTTCCTTCCTCGTGGAGATGAATGAGCAAGACATACGGTATCGAGACATCCTCGGTCACGGCAATGGAGGAACCGTTTACAAGTAAGTCACCCCCCTCCCCTGCGTCGCACTTTCCGTTCTCTATTTTTAATTTTTTCTCCAACTTTTGGGACAGAAAAGGCCACAGCTTTCCCCCTCTTCCCCGTGAACGTGTCACCAGGTGTCAGCCTCTCTTCCTCTCTGTGAGGTGCAGATTGCAGGTAACGCTCCTAGGAGAGGACTGCGTAACTGCCTTGGAAAAGCTGCCCCTATTTTCCTCCATCCCGTATGCTACCATTGGCTGGGTATCTGCGGTCATCTGAAAAACGTGATTCCTGCAGTGATGCAACTCAGGCTTCGAGGGGGTGGAGTGGGCAGAGTGGAAGAGGCGTGTGTGGCTCCACGGACGAGGTTGCCTTCTCCTTTTGCAACATTTCCGACCGGCTGAAAGTGCACATCACACCACCCCCAGTTTTATCTTCGGCCAGCCCGTACGGTTCTGCATTCGTGATGTTACTTGTCTCTCACTTGCCGTTCTTCTGTCTTGCCTCTCCGCCGCCCGTCCAGTGAAACAAAAAAAGTCCTCGCATGCACTCGAGGGGACCTGTGTGGTCCCCGTTTGCCGGAAGAAGCCACCTTCGTAAGCTCGTACTCAGTTTAATGCATTACAGATTACCATAGCTATGAGGAGGTTTGCTTAGCAGGAGGCTTTCCTCTCCTGCGCGGCCCAAAAGTTTAAGTCCCATAACACAAGTGCTCGCACTTCATAGGCTGCACTACAGTGTGAAAAATATTCCGCTGGGAATTAAGAGAACATTTCCTAAGAAAAGCCCTGGGGGGATGCTAGAGATTTCTTCAAGAAAGAACAGCTTACCGTGTACAAATCATGTTTTAGGTATATGCTTTGCTGTTCAAGAACATTTTGGAGCAGCAGTGTTTTCAGACTACGGTGCTGTGCCACCGCCTTCCCTCGTGGGTTTCCCACCAGACGTTCTGGGCCACAGCTGCTGGAGTGCCCAGCCTGTCTGCATCTGGAGGATACCCGATGACACAGGCTGGCTGGCTTGCGTCACTCCCACACCTTCGGCCAGTGGGGGTGTGGAAGCAGTGTGTCACAGAGCGATGTGGAGACTGGGACCTGTGGGTGCTCCGCTCGGAGCATCCCCTCTGCTCAAAGCCCTTCTTTGGGCTATTTCTTGCACTTGGTGCTGACCTTCCCCGGGTCAACTTGCAGCCTCATTCGCTTGCTTAGAAGAGCATTTAGGTGTGGACGTTTGTTGGATGTTTAGGTATTTTCTGGTCTTTGGTGGAAAGTGCCCCTTAAAATTGATCCGGTGTCAGACTGTCCTGTCTGTGTTGGAGCAGAAGCCGGACCGAAACTGTCACGTTTGCAAGCGTACAGGTGGCCGGATTTCGCCCTGGTTGCGGGGCTGCACCGACTCGGTCGGAAGCCATGGCTGATCCCTTTGCTGGAGAGAAAGCATCGCCGAGGCTTCTGCTGGCACGGGCTTTGTCTTCCGGCTGCTGGCTTCCCCTGCTCACTTCTGCAATGTGCCCCTCGTATTGATTTGCAGCTGAAGAACGGAAGCACACGTGCTCGTTTGCCTGTGTGTCTTCCTAAACTCTGCACCAAGTCATATCCATTATGGCAATGAAATATTACCCACATTCAGCAAACAAGACGGCACGTTTCAGGTCGCTGAACAATAGTATTCCTTTTCTGTTTCCAGGTGAACTAACTATTATTGAAATAGTTTATGGAGATTGAGATATTGATCACTTTAGTGCTAACCATGGCTTAAGGGGAGAGCAAGAACAGGGGTGGGTTTTATTCTGTTTGGAAGACACCATTTCGTTGGAGTGCCTGAATCTGTGTGTGCGTTCAGGTTTTTACTGCCTCTGCGGGTTTGATTGCTTGAAGGAAAGGGTATCTTTGCTTCATTTTTATGACAATATAATTATACTTCAGAAATGCACTTGATTACTCTCTGCAGCAAAATTGTTCCAGTGCATTGCTTAGGCCAATACTGCTATTCAAACAACTTTTCAGTCAATTTAGTTGGGTAAAAAAAAAAAATCAATACTTTCGTAGCAGTATTTCTAGGGAGAACTTGCTGAATCCAATCTTTTTTGTTCTTCTGTTGTTTAAAGAAAAGGTGGTTTATAGCACTTAGCTTCCTATTAAGTTTATTTCTCCCATTTTCTTAACTAAAGGATGGTGAGCATTGAGAACTTGACCCCCAGAATATGAGTGTTGCGAGTTCAGGTGGTTCTGGCCAAGCTGCTGAGGCAGCCAAGTTGCCCCAAGGTGCAGCTTAGCAGTAGCACTGCCTGCTTTGTCACGGTTCGTTGCCCTATCCAGGCTTCATCTGACTTGGCAATCAAACAAACCATGGTTTATTTTCTTAATAACTGGATTGCTCATTTCCATCTCTTTTTTTCTTTGCCCCCTCCATGCATCTCAAATGCTTCTCTTTAAAAACTTTTTTAATGCTCTTGCCTGGTGCTTCTGTACCCTGACAAAACAACCTATGAACAATCCATGCATCTGGATTCACACATACTGACAGCCCATGGCTGAAACAACCCAGAGTTTACAACCCAATGAAAAACAATGAGTTCTCTTTCTGGGTTGGTGGTGGTTAAAGGGCTGTAGTTTGTTAGCAGAGCCACATTTACGTATTGCAACAAGCCAGAATTCCACAACAACAATGGATGAGTGTTCTGTGTGAACCAGGACCATGCAAAGGCTTCCCAGGTTCTATCCCTCCTGGCCAAGCAGGTCCCGCAGAACTCCTCTAAGAACTGCGCCCATTCCTGTGGGACCCCAGCCGGTCTGCCACTGTGTGAACAGAATGCTGGACTGGGTGGCCATGGGCCGCCGGATCCAGCCTCAGGGCTCTTCTGATGTTTTCATCCTTTTTGGTAGAAATTGCCACAAGACTCAGGTTTTCCCTCTCCTGCTGACAGCTCCTCATGACGCCTCCAAAACGACAAGCCCGCATGTCGCGAACCGCACTTGATGTCAGTGGGGCGGCGTGCCTTCACAATTCAACTCGACCTAGCTGTGCCATAGATTCATTATGCCACCTAATTTAAACTAGGTATTGTAATTTTTTACCCCTCAAATATTTTCTAAAGGCGGGAATGATGGCACATACAGGCCCTTGTGAATATATTGGGAAATATTTATATACTGCAGCATCTAGGGTATTTACCTAAATTGCTTTTTTGAAAAATAAATCACTGGAAAGGCCAAATAGCACTGGGTTTCTCCCTGCCACATTTTTTAACTCCATTGCTGCTTACCGACACTTAAAAAAAACCTGCTGCTTCATTTTCAGTGAAATACATGAACGCTGTGATTTACAAGGCAGCAACCCCTTTCTAACATGAGTGGCTGAGCAGAACCTGTACTAAATTATTTAGAACCAAAACACCATAATAAGTATCATATAAAATTATGTCAGTGGTAAATAACGCTTCCTGTTTCTTGCATGAATCACAGCGCCCAGGTTTTTGGAAGGTAGCGTGTGACCTTAGCCCTCAGGAACTGCGGCTCAGTGGCAGAAGCCCTCTGTCGCTGGCAGAAGGGCTCCCGGTCTCAACGTTGCCATCTCCAGGTAGAGCTGGAAGGACACCTGCCGGAAGCCTGAAGCCCTGAGGAGCTGGTGCAGGCCAAAGGCAGCGATGCTGGGCCAGGGGAAGCGAGTGTCTCAGGCGGCGCCAGTGGCTGTTCGGGTCCCGGAGGGCTGCTCTGTTGCATCGGATAAAGGGAGGCCTCAGACCTCGCTTCCAGCGTTAGCCAGCCAGATTTGTCCAAGAGCCTGATCAGGCAGCCTGTTAACCTCATCTCTTTCTCATGCCTGCACACTGCTCTTGCACATGGAAGCTCTGTCAAGCTGTCGTGACAAGGAATGTCTCCTGCCCAAGCCTGTGCCTAGAGGAAGAGATCCCCTTGGCCGCTAGCTTAGGTCACTTTATTTAAAAAAAAACTAGGCAAGTAGGCAGAGGATAGGTCTGTAAATTGCAAACAGAGCCTCCATATTTAGGAGCAGTATGCCTGATGCTGGGGACAAAACACAGGGAAGGATCAACTTGCTTGTGAGCTTCCCAAAGGCATTTGCAAGGAACAGATCACTGAACTTGGGTGGACCTTCCGAATTGGATCCACCAGAGGAGTTCTTACCATGATCTGGTCTTACTTTGATGCATGAACTAGACCTTTAAAAAGTTTTTGTGTTCCAGACACCGAACTCGCATCCCGTTTTCGTCACGGGTGTTGCATCTTCTTTCTCCTTTGCCTGTGCTCACCATCTCATGTTTGTTTAAGAGGCGCTTCAACTTTAGCTGGGCTTTCCCCGCCCCCGTGTAATTCCTGCGATAGGTTAACCAAGACTGACCAGTGATTGCAGTTTGCTTTTTTCCGCTGACCCCAGCCGTCCGCTCGCCCGGCTCATAAAATCTGTTATGCACAAAAGTGCATAAAATGAAGATGAAGTGCCTCCTCCCAGCCTTGACAAAAAAACCCTCCTTCTGCTGAACTGGCGCTGCAGTGAAAGTACATAAATGAATGGACAGCAATCACAGCCTGGTTGATGAAACTGTTCAATTAAAGCACAGACATTTACATGGTGTAATTTCCCTAAATTGCCAATGAGCCCCTTTAGACACAACCAGTGTTCAAATTGATTTCAGCATTGATTTTGGCTGAAGCTGATAAATTCCTGCTTGTTAGTTAAAGTAATTTTGCAGAAGACTTTGTACTGTGGTATTGAAGTGTTCATTTAGCTGATGGTTAAAAGAGGAGTTATTTACCGAGGGCTGCACTGTTGTTCTGAGATGGAGCAATTCCCCAATCATCTTTTACTTTTACTTTTAATTTTTTAAGCTTCAGTATCCCAATCAATAGGTGACTGAAACTGATTAAAACTTATCCAACCAGCTGCCTATGGCAGTTTAATTAGAAACTGGTTTGATTCTTAAATTAAACTTGGGTTGTTGGGTTTTTTCCCCCTTTTTTGGCACAATGCACTCATCCTCCTTGAAGATTCAGCAAAAAGTTAAGTTGTTCTTGATTAAAAATAAGCCAGGTGTTTTTGTACGAAACTGCAGAATACTATTCCTTAAGACAATATCAAGAGATTTGATCCACTGTTTTCTAGCACCCATATTGCTGTCTTGTCTTCCGCTGTCTCAGCATGCAAACTTTCTTGTATTCCACTGAGTTTTCACGAAGCGCACAATCCACCCTTAGTAACCTGTAAGTTAACTGGCTTTCTTCTTGTATAAGAACAAACAGGAGCATTCTGGCTGTTCCTTTTCTGGTTCCTCGAAAATATGAACCACTCTTAATGCTGCAGTCTGCACACCGCAAGACATTCGGATGTTGGTGAAGGCACAGAGTGGCTGTTCTGAGATTTGACACAACCGTGTGTGCGCGTGCATGCGCGCGTGCAGTTGGCACAAACACACATTTAGATTTAAACGCCTTGCAAGTACAAAACTCTCCCAGCCTTCTCCGTGTTTAGCCCGTTTCCTGCTAGCAGGAAGGCTTTAATGAAGAAAACAAAGGCCCACTGAAAGAGTGGCCTGTTCAGCTTGAAAATGGCACCGGCCCTTCCGTCACCTCGGGACTGAACCTCTTCGTCCGGCTGCCTGTGGAGCTAGTGCGTCTTGCGTTGTTCGGGGCGCTTATGATTCAGTGGCGAACAATCTGGGCCGGAGAGTGCCTCCGAATTAACGGCAAAGCATGTTGCACCATCACTCAGACAGAAGGGAGATTGGCATAAATTACTGCTTTGAATGAGCAGAGCCCCAGTAAGAGTTGCGCTTTGCTGGCGTCGTTCACTTCCGACTCTCCTCTTCCTGACAGCCAGTGAGCCAGGCTAATGGCCCTGCCGATTACGGGAGGCAACAACTGTCGGAGTGCTAATGCTCTGGAAGCCATCTGAAGCTCTTCCTTTGAAAATGGCTGTTTCAGGACATGAAAATACCGCCAGTAAACCCCCAAACTCTGGCCATTAGCATGGAGTGGACTGCTGTGTCCTGCACACACCGAAAAAAAAAAGCCTGGACGCAAATCTGCGATCTGCCACCTGCTTTCCACAGCTGCTGACCCTCAAGTCCTCGTGCAGTGCGGTGTGTTTGGAGGAGCCGAACTTGAGTGTGATGTCGCAGCGCGTCGTTCTTTTCCCTTGCTTCTGTGTTGGGGGGATGCGCTGCTCCTGCAGCTTCTGGAGATTTTGAGCACCGTGGGCGATCGCTGCTCAGGAGGTCACAAGTGGATTTACGGGCGCCTCACACCCCTAATGCGTGGGTGGCAGTGACTGGGGGACTTCTTGCTCCCAGAGCAGTTCCTGTGCCACTGCCCGTGGCTTAATTATTTACCCAGGTCTCTGAAGACTCCATGGATCTGGGTTTGAGCTTTAAGTGCCCATCCGTGCTCCCTGTCCTGGGGCCAAGAAGGCATCAGGGAGGAGCAGATGTGTTCACAGAGGGCTACCGCTCTTGTGCACTTCGAACAAGCGCATCCTGAGAGGTGGTGCGCACTGGCACAGCGAATGAAGAAAAAATGGATCAGGTCAGACAGTCTTTCTCTGCAGAACCTGTCCACCTTGCTGCGTTTACAGTGGCAGCAAGTAGCACCGAGGAGCTTTCTGCACACCATCTTTCCGCAGGGTTCATTGTTCTGGATCCTACCTCCTTCCTTCCCCAGATAACGGGGGATCTTACCAGGGCATGTATCCTGAGCCCCTTCCACTAGGGACGTCGAGGGGAAATTTGGAAAGTTCTGCTCAAGTGGAATGGGTGGGTGTGCCTCTGAACACGTGGTCTGCCGTTCTGGGTCTAAAAGAGCCACTTCGCAGGTCTGGGCAGATTGCCTTCCCTGGAACATCCTGCAGGAAGCGTTTGAATTTTCCAAGCGATAGAAGCTCACCGTGACTTCAAATGTCTTGGGGTATGGTTAATAGTTAAGGTTAATAAAATATTTGACAGAATTACTCCAATCCTGCTTTAAAGCTGTTCTTTGTAATGGATGTAGAAGGATTGGAGAAATGACACAAGTCGATAACATTAGGCCCAAAAGTGCCATGTTTTTGTTTTCCTGGAGAGGAGGTTTCAAAATGGCAGCAGCAGGCGCTTTACTTTCCTGTAGCCAGTTTAGCTAGTTTAAAAATGGGGTAAGAAAATCTTAGAGCAGATTGAAATGGCCACTCCAAACATTAAACATTGCCCAAAAGAATGAAAACTTCTCACATTTACTATTTCTGAAATGTTCTGATTGAGTAAGCAAAGTGTGATTTGATACGGATTAAAAGATTGTGTGAGTGGAATGCTGTGCTCATCTGATTTCGAAATAACGCTGGTTTGTTCGCACCGTGTTTCCTTCTCCAGGGCTTCTAGCTGCCTGTTTGTAGGCCAAAATGCTTCAGGCAGTATTATAGATTGAGGATGTGTCTTTTGCCCACATCCCAAAAGTCACTTGTGCATATGTAAAAGAGTCATCTTAAAGCTGTGCTCCTGGATCCAGAAAACAGTTGCTTGCGCCAGGGCTCCCGTTTGGTTTTCCCAAGGGAGCAGATTGGCATAGCCTTCTCTTTATGCTCAGTCCATCTCCCTTTGGAAAAACTGCAGGAATCCATCTCCGTCGGAGCTCCGTGTGTGCGCACCGGCATGCATATGGCTCCGAATTGGGATAGCTAACTGGACCAAGATGGCATGTGGATAATTTAAATGACCAAGGTTGGCTGGGAGTTCTCCCTCGTATTTGGTCAGAAAACGTTTTCCTAGCAAACTCATTGGGACAGGTAATTACTGCAGCCGCTACATCCTAATTTGAAGTGTTAGCTGTTAATTAAAACACTGCTCGGGTGTCCGGTTTTCTTCTGGTGTAACCAAAGCTTCCATTCAGTCTCCATTAATCACTTTACAGTTAATGTGCCGGAGTAGGTCAAGCCAATTGAGAAGGCTTGGCGGTCAGAAGTAAACAAATTTCCTTTCTTCCAGGTACTGTGGCACCTTCCAAAGCCAAGGGATGTTCTGCCCCCTTGGGCATGATACCTGCTTTCTGATCTCTTTCTCAATGATAATTAAATGTTAAATTGCTACTGTCAATGCTCTGTAAACCAAACCAGGTACTTGCTCTTTGCTGGAAATTTAACCCAAACTTCCACGGATGAATTGGCGTGCATCATAATTAAATCATCAAGTCTTTCCTTTTAATTCACTTGGAAACAAGAGGACCCCCCTCTCCTTTCATGGAAGAAGGGGAGCGGGGAAGGATCGGCTTTCTTGACAAGCTAATTAAGTTGCCAAACTGCCCGGCACAGTACATATTAAGCTAACAGACGTTATGCATGTTATTCAGCTGCTTGTTTTCTTATTGTTTCGGTTGAAGAAAAAGCCAAAATGTTTTGCCACTGGTAATTCATCCATAGTTGCTTCACGGTTAGTCTTATTCTCCCTGTTTTATTGACTGCACTTTCCACTACTAGCCTCCCCAGGTGACCAGCAAATATCCTTAGGTGGTTATTTTTCCTGCTCTTAGGTACTTTTTCTTCAGGTATATTTGAGGTTTCTGCAAGATGCTGCTGATTTGCGTAGGATGCAGCTAAGTGTTAGATTTTGTTGGAAGGCGGGAAGGCCTACCTCGAGGCAAGTGGGAAGGGAAAGCCGCCCATGGCAGTGAGCGACACGAGGAAAGCTGCAGAGGGTCTCCTTGAGCCTGCGCTCGGACGCTCGGTCCCTGCAACGGGGGCACCGCTGACCACTTGGCAGCGCAGTCATATCACTCCTTAGGCCCGTCCTGCACACCTCTCGAATCAAACGCAGCCCATGTGGCACAGCCTGCGAGTGTACTTGACAACCTGCCTGGTTGGCAGTCCCAGGTGGGCAACCAAAACGGTAGGCTTTTAATTGACCATGACAGCTTGCATGCCATTTTGGGGGTTAGGAGTTGTGCGGGATTGATTTGGGTCCCAGCCGTGGAAGGAGGTCTAAACGGGCTGAGCCGGCGGTTTGGGACCTGTGTCGCCCCAGCGAGAAAGTCAGCTAGCTGAAGAATGTGTTCAACTATACACCTTTGTGCAGGTCCCAAATCAAAGTATGGATGTGATTTTTCTCTCCCTTAACCTGTCTTCCCTCCTCACTTTTTCTTTCTTTCTGGGTGCAGAGCAAACCATGTCCTCAGCGGGAAAATACTAGCAGTAAAGGTACGTCCTCCTTCCATGCTTGTCTTCTGCCGGTGGTGGTACTTCGCTTTGCTGAACGAGCGCAAAGCTCCACAGTGAACCAGGCCGTTCTGTTTTGCTGCCGCGCAAAAAGGTCACGTGGCAGAGAAGGCCATTGGTGCACTGCCAAACTGTACAGGCCCCTGAACACTTCCCTGCACGAACCTGAACGGATCCGCAGGGGCGGGGAAAATACGCATCCGCTGAAGAACCGGCGGGTGTGTTTTTTGGTCAGTCAGAAAATCACAGATAACAGAATCGGTGGGACCCCCTCCTGGCTTGTGCCTCATCCCTTCCATGCAGGTGGGGCTCAAAGTCCTTCTGCTTTGGCCCCCCCTTTAATCTGAGATTGCCACCCCAGGAGAGCAGCGCCCCGGTCTATCTCATCTATGGCTCCAGCGGCAATGGCCGTTTTGTATCTTCCTGCTATTGCTGACTGTCCGCTGCTTTGTAAGGCACATCAAAGGTGACTTAAATATGGAAAGTAAATTATAAATGGAGGATTGGGCAGGGCCACCTTTTCCTGCTAGCCAGAGAAGCTGCTGTGTTTGTGCTCCAACACATGTGGCCCCAAGCAGGGGCCTGGCTCCCCTTGAGGTGGTTCGCTCTGCCTTCCCGCTGATGAGGGCCGTTTTCCTCCAAGAGGCACGCTCTGGTTTCGCGGCTGCAGGTTCGCCTCTGCAGGGGTAGCTGCTCTTCCCAGGGAAGGGCGGCTGGGGGGCCACAGTAGCACGGGGCCTCTCTGTAAACGAGTCTGCTCCTTGAGCCGCTGGGACGGGGCCTCTTCTTCTGAGGATGGGAATTGGGGTTCCGGCTCATAACGGGAGGCCCCGGGTGGCTGAGCCAGCCCCCAAGGGCATGGAGATGAAATGGTGGAGGGGCCCATGTCTGCTGGATTGGGGGGCCTTGATGGAGGGCCGGCCGCCGGCCAGGCCTGCTTTCCTCGACCCTCTTAGGCGGGAAGGGGCTGGTCGAGCTGCCGGAGTGAGTTTTATGCCTCCCACTGGGAGTGCGGGCGCTTTTTGACTTCCCGCTTCCGGTGTGCAGATGACTGAAGGAGAGGCAACTTTCTGCATCCCCTGAAGCTGCTTTTGCTGGCCCGGCATCCCACCTCTTCCTGAAGCCGTTCTGGCGGCCAGTGCTTATGGGACCTACTTGCTGCTATGGGGAGGCCCCCGTGGCGCTGAGAGCAGCCACCCCACTCTGCGGCCGCCGCTGTTCCATTCCCACCACCATCCTTAACCAAGCATTTAAATGGTCCATTTGATTAATCATTTGTATACCCGCTATCGTACTCCCAAATTTCCTCTGAGTTGTACCTACTGTAAAAGACAATTATGTTGCCCCAGATTAAGTAAGTGAATTAAAATGGAGTTGCAGCTTAATTTGACCTGTGATTTTGCTCTCGTTCCCTTTAGTGGCGCGCACACCTCTCCGACAAATAGATGAAGTCATCCATGACAGCCAGTGATGAATTGCCATCGCAATACTGTATATTTTAATAGCCTCTCACTAATTTAAATTGAGCACCGAGTAAATTATAATTCAGTCAGTTGACTGCTTGTATTTAACTTGACAACTCATCCTTATTTGTCCTGGAGGTGTAGCAGAGAAGTGGAAAAAGCGGGTGCAGGTATTTTGCTTAGGGTTAACCCTTTCCCCCTGGAGCGCCTGTGTCCCCGCCATTCTAGATAGCAGCTGTTTCCGCCGCTCCTCTTACTTAAAGTACAGGCAGGTGGATCACTCCTTTTAAAATGGGGAATAGGACTTACCTCAAAGGGAGGACGTGTCCCCGACCCCCTGCCCTTCCTTGGTGCAGTCCTTTCTGATTCGCTGTTCACACAAATAAATTAATGCAGAAGCCATTAAGGGCCTGAGTATGAATGCCAAGATCTATTATCCATTGGATTTATTAAAATCATGGGAAATCCACAGGTGTTCTGGTCAGCTCATACTCCCAAACGAGTTTCGATGAAGCCTGGTGCATTTCCGGGAGCCTATTTTATCCTGAAATTGCGGGGTTTCCGTACTTTCCTGCCATTCCCGAAAAGGTTAGGAACGAAATGATCCGTCAGCTCTCCTGCTCCCCAGCTTGCTTCGGGCAAAATGGCCAAGCCACGGAGCCTCCTCAAAGTTGTGCGTGGCAGTTCACGTGGCCGGCTGCGGCCACAGGGCTTTCCGAGCGGCACGGAGCCCGGCTGGATGGCAGAGGCCAAGCCGCGTGGCCAGTCTTTGCTTGCCAGAGCACCATGGAGAGGAGCCGTCGCGAATCCAGCGCCGTTTAACACAGCAGCCATTTTGTACAAAGCGGAACTGGGTCCTTCACTTCCGGAAAAATCGACATACCCGCAAGTCAGAGAAGCTCAGGGAAGCCGTTCCTGCGTCCCAGGCCGGCTGATGCCTCCTTGGCCACCCGTGACCTCAGACCCTCTGCTGAGGCTTCTGCCACTGGGAAGCCTGGTTTTGAGCTGGGTTTAAGCCGGGAAGCAACCTCCAGTTTCAGATGTGATAGCGGGTTAAATTTTGCAGCTGTTTTAATGGGCAGAATTGATACAGTGTTCCAGCAGGTTACTTTGTTTTAAGCTTTCCACCCAGGAAAAAGCATGTAAGTGAATATCGTTGGCAAATGACTATTGATCTGGAGAAATGTGTTAAATGTTTTCTCAGCAGCCTTTCTATTACAGTTACAATTTAGTTTGGGGAGAGCTTTTATAAATAACCCTAAAGCAAATACTTGATGGAAACAGGTTATGTTCTTTCCCCACCATTTAGGCAGACATCAATACAGTAAAATGTAGGGTTGAAAGTAAGCTGCTCTTGGGATTTCCCCCACGGACAGCGTGGACCTGTGGGTTGTATGATGCCTCCGAGCTGCCTGGAACCCAAATCCTGGGGAGCGTGCATTTTCCACACTTGCATTTCTCCTTCCAGGGCAAAAATGGCCAGCGTCTTCAAGGGAAGGAACTTACTTTCTCCCGCTGGGGGCTGGAACGCTCCCCCACCCACACCCACACCCACCCACACAGGCGATGCGCATGAGTGCAGTAAGCTATAATCACAGGAGTGTACCTAGTTCTTCCCATTTTATTTAGAAATAAAACCATGGGCCAACCATGCCTTTTTAGCAATGGGTTGCCCAAGTCCAAAAAAAATCTATCTGGTGGCTGTCTGTCCAGAGCTGCTCAGGTGATGCCACACAGGTGGCGTTCAGTTCACAGTTCGTCAAGTGTGAGCTTTAAATGCTGGTAGCCCAGGTCCTGAGGGCCACCGGTGTCATGTCAGTGGCCCCATCTGTCGGCCGCATCCAGTCAGTCGGATGGTGATGGCTGCTTAAGCAGCAGTGGTCCGAAGGAAAATACACCCAGTGGGTGTTTCTGCCAGTGCGTGGATTGTTGGTCTTAAGAAGGTTAAGACCAGCAGCCAGTCACACGATGGTTCTTGGCGCTGCTGTTTGCATCTGGCTTCTACAGGGATTATTTCAATGCTTCCTTTCAGGTTATCCCGTTAGATATCACCCTGGAACTTCAGAAGCAGATTATGTCTGAGTTAGAAATTCTTTACAAGGTATGCTATTTGTAACGTTTGCATTTTAATTCAACATCTGTAGCTTTTCCGCTAACAGTTTCTTTCTTCCTTTCCTTTTTATAGTGTGATTCATCCTATATCATAGGATTTTATGGCGCTTTTTTTGTAGAAAACAGGATTTCCCTTTGTACTGAATTCATGGATGGTGAGTCATGTGCTATTTAGTCTTAAAAAGTCTCAACTCTGTGTGGTAATGTCAAATGAGTTTAAATGTTTATTCAGTACACTTCCTTTGTACACCCAAACTGATCCCTACAGATGGTATGAGATGGTGGTTTTTATATTTAAAAGAAAGTATTTTAAAAATAATAATAACCACTCGCAAGCTTTAACACATCAGGCAGGCAAGAGTTATGATTATGTGATGTAAAGTATGTTATGTTTTCCTGAATAGAGTTGCACTGAGTTTTATTGAAAATGTAAACAGAGCAGAAGTAAGTGTTGGTTTATCTGTGGTTTGATATTTGCCACTTCCGTGCAGTCTGTCTTTACTGACAAAACAGCTGTTCTCTCGTTTAATGTTTCGGCCGCCAACACAAATTTTCTTTCAAAGAAGCCCATTAACGCACTCAGTGTCCTGTGTGTTTTCAGCAAACAATCGACTAGGAATGGCAATATAAAGAGTTCTAGTCCAGCTCCTCTAAGAGGGACTAATGCGCTGTGACTTTCCAGTGTAATGTGACTTAAAAGTAATTTCCAAATTTTCCCAGTGTTCATCCTATTATAAGTGTCCTAACTAGGCAAGGGTGGGCACACCTGCACAAGTGAGTCCAAGAAGAGGTATGCCCTCGCTGGGTCGCAAGGAACGCTGCTCTCAGAGCAAGAACAGACTGTGTCCCACTTGCTTTATCATGGGCTAAATTAATCCGTCAGCTGTCATGGGGTACGTGTCTGTGCACATGCTTAAACTGATGTTAACAGGGGAAATTTTGTTTCACTTGTAGGAGGTTCCTTGGATGTTTACCGAAAAATTCCAGAACACGTACTAGGAAGAATAGCCGTTGCCGTAAGTACTCTGGCTTTGATTTTAATGCTTAGCACTTTGAAATGTGTAGACACACTGGAAATAATGCAGGAGGACAAAAGAAGTGGGCACTGACTTGTGGAACCTCAAAAGTGTCGGCACAGACTGTGGTGGACCACAGCCCCCTTCATTGCTAGCAGCTGTTGACATGGGCTCTTGGGCAACGCATTTTATAGCTTTCAGGTGCCCCAAGATGCTGTGCTTTTTTTCTGCCGGAAGGTAAACATGGCAGGTCCTCTGGGGAGAGAAAAGCACTGAATGGATAGTGCATCCCGGGTCTTCAGACCATGTCGTGGGGCACTCAAAAACCTGAATTTCTCAAGAGTGTGGAGAGAATGTATCATTATGTTAAAGCTGGAGCAAAGACTGGTGGGAAGAAAGCCCTGGCTGCGTGGGGTGGGGTGGGGTGGGGTGTTGCTGAACAATTGCTAAATCTGAAGCAGGCTTTGATAATTTAAGTGGTTTAAAGCATAACAAAGTTATTCTGTAATGTACCATTTAATTAAATGCCTGTTTTCCACACTCATTATACATCAAGCTGACAACTGGAATCCTTTAATCTAACGCAGGCAGCTATTTAGGCTTCTTTCATTGTAATTCGCAGCTCGGCTTCGTTCTCTCCACTTCAGTTGCATGCGTGAAGAGTACCTTTTCATCTGACATGGTCTCCTTGGACCAGTTCCAGATGGGCTTATTTTTTAGGCTCAGTGTGGTTTCTTATGGTACGTGAGAGTGTTTGGCTTTCCTTTTTTTTAAGACAAGACTAAAGTGAAATAAAAGTGTTTCATTTTTGCTGTTTGGGGGATTTGCATGATAATATTAAACAATCATTTATATAGCGCGGAATGAATAAAAAATACGTTGCAATCCCAAGCATCTTTTGCAATTCAACAAGCAAGTTGAGGCAGCATCCAAGGCCACTGGGTAGATCTGTGGCAAAGATGAAATGCAATTTAGATCCAATTTTGAAAATTGGGCTTTGAGGGGTTGCTTTAAGTGATTTACATGTTAAAGCTCCAGTTGGGTTGAGTTTGGTTTGGTTTGGTTTGGTTTGGTTTGGTTTGGTTTGGTTTGGTTTGGTTTCAACTGACTACTGGTTCATTGTGTCATGGAAAAGGCAGAGAGAGGAATCTAGATTTCTTTGCTCTGCCTCTTGGGCAGCCTGGTGGTGGGTGTTCAAGGCAGTAGAAGGAGGAAGGGAGATAGCCTGTGTGGGGCTCCCTTCCAGCTAGAAATAGGGGTGTGGAACCCCCCTTTCGACTCCGGGCAGATGTCAGGCTGATGCATTTGAAGAGATGTGCTAAGTTTCTGCTTGGCATCTTTAGCTTACCTCTCCAACTCTGCCTCGAAAATGACTAAATTCAGTCAACGGCATCCTTTGTACAGGAATCTAGTTTAACAAAAAGTAAGAAGACCAGAGAAGAGATGGACTGAAAGGGAGCCCAGCCTTGAATTCACAGTGGATGAGCAGGGCTGTCCTGGATCGGACATTCTGGAGGGCTTTCCCGTGTAGTTCAAGACAAGCTGATGGCACGTAATGGCAGATCAGAATTTGCATATGCGATTGCTAATTCCCTGAATTTTCATCTCCAAACGCGTTTCAGTGATAATGTTAGCCCAGCTGCTTGTACGACGGTCCTGCTCCTTGTAAAAGCCTCTGGAAGAATAGCTTGCAGGCAGCCAAGCGATCCTGGGCTGTTGAACCCCCGCGAGCTAGCTGCCTTTGCTGGCCACCTTGTGCGTTTATTCTGCTTTCCGTTTCTGAAACAGTGACACCATACACTGAATTTTGAGTGCTAATGTTGACTGAAGTTTTTTTCTGCAAAAGAGGTACACTTAAACTGTCAAGAGCGTGAGTGATTGATGGAAGATAAAACTAGTGTTTGTGTCAAGGCTTTGTCACGTCATTATTGTTGTCAAACTCGTTTTACTGAATGCCAGCAACACCTTCTAGAGTATTCAGTCAAAAGAAATGCTGCGCCAGCCCCTCTTTAGCATAATGTGTAACACTGCGTGGCTGTACTCGCGATGGGGAAATGGCTCTCTCGTGTCAGCAAATGGCTGGGATTTCTGATCAGTGTGTGACGGATTGTCGGGTATCCTTGGACCTGCGTGTGTAAGGCCCTCTTTTAAAAAAAAGTTGAAATGGAAAACTATCTACCATTTGGTTGACAGTGCCTTTTACAGCTCCTCCTTTCAGCAAGGGCACTTCACCGCAGGAGCACTCTGTGAATGCAGCCGAGTCGGTTTTCAGAGGTGCAGCATTCTTAGGCCCATTGTTAAAAATCTATAATTAAAAATCAATGCAAACTGTGTACCTGTCCTGTAATGAGCAGAGAACGACGTTTGCTTTTGGTGTGAGCGCATTCCCCGACATGCTTCAGCGGCATTCACAGTGGGAGCCCGGCTGTTTCCCCGCTCACATGGGGGCAGGCAGGTGATTTTTATAGGAGAAAACGCAGGTTTTCCCACCTATATCCAGCTTTTGTTATAGACTGCGAAAGCTGCATCTGAAAATGTACTCCTTTTATTGTCCTTTTCTTCCACCATGAGAGCGAGATGCACAATCTTTGCTCGCTTGGGGGGGAGGGGGGAGCGATATTCTAGAACCCGAAAGCAGAAGTTTTATTTGTTCTAAGAATGGGATGCTCGGTGGCATTCCTCTGGGTGGGCCCAGGTGAAAGGGTGGGTGGCAAGGCAGGGAAGGCCGCGGTGGGGCTTGTGGCGGGCGCATGGGGCCCGCGCCATCATTTGAATGGGCAGCCACCACGTGCTCATACTGTGGGCGCTGCCGTGCGGCTGCCGCACCCTGCCTGGTGTTCTCCGGAGCGCTGCACACCCGGCCGGCAGCGTTGGGAACGTTGGGCGTGGGACCCGGACAGCTGGCGGCATGCCTCCCTCCCTCCCCCCATGTATCCCTGCCAGACCACTTCGACCTTCAGCAGAGGCCCTCCTTTGTGAGCCCTCCTTCCCAAACGAGGTGAGGGAGGAATCGGCAAGAAAACGGGTATCTCACCTCATCTTTGGACCTCTTTTCCAAAAGGGGGGGCAGCTGGCACCCTCGTCACCCTGTTTTCGCTGTCAAGTCAAGACTTATTTATTTAGTGCCTATTTTTAGCACTGTGGCTTTATCTGCTTTTTGTCGGTGGTTTTATTGCTGCTTTTATTGTTGTGTATTCTCCTGTTTCCACACTTTATATTAGTTGGATTTTATGTGGTTTTCGATGGCATTGGTTTATTTTCTTAGGTTATGCTGTTGTTTCTGTTTTGCGTGAGCCGCCCAGAGAGCCCGTGAGGGACGGGGTGGCAGGCAAACCCAGTGAACCCCAAGCGAGCCAATGCCTTCCTGAGTGGTGCTCCTGTGCAGCTGCTTGGCAGTGGGGCTGGGCTGCCTTTCGGGAAGCGCTTGTGCCACAGGGGTTGGCGAGGCCGGGGAAGGTGCCCACGGGACCCGATTCCAGCCCCAAGGCATGTTGTGGGCAGCAGACGAGTGCGGGAGAGGGAGGAGGGCTGCATGGGAGATGTGCGTTCTCCAGGGCCACTCCGCACGTGTTGCCCGTGTGCTCCCCGTTTGGAGAAGCATCTTCAGCGAGAGAGGAAAGATGCCACTGTCCGAGAGCAAACTCCAGGGCGGCTTGCAGAAGGCACCTGCGAGAACCACCGGGGGTGGGTGGGTGGGTGGGGGTGCATCGTGTGGCCAGCTCCAGGGTCGCACCCTCAGTATGCTTCTCTGCCGCTGCTTTTTAACAAGCCCTGGTTTAAAAGCAACCCCGCCGCCGTGGCTTGTTCTGTCACGCGAACCCAGCCACTCTCTCGTCAGCGTTTTGTCCCACGGGCCATGGCATTCTCCTGGATCCGGTCCGTGGGTTGGGCATTGGCAGCGCTGTGTGGTGGTGGTTGTGGTCGTGCCTACAGGGTCTGTCCCGGAGAGTCTTCCCTGGCCCCTGGGCTATAGGGCGCCACTTTTCCTGTGATCGTCTCGTATCTCTGTGGCGCCCCTGGCAGCGCCATCCCGAGAGGCATCCCGAGCGTTCAGGCACTTTCCTCTCAGATGCTTTTCCCCTCCGGCCACAGTGATGTGGGGCACCATGCTCTGGTGTGCATGTCCTCTGGGGTTTTGTGCACGCCTGCAAGCACCGAGCAGCCCAGCTGCCTGCAGCTGTGGGCTCTCGCGGGAGGCATGTGCCTTCTTACACTTCTGCGATGGAATTTGCGCAAGCGCTCTCAAGGCAGTGCTACGAGGGGAAGAAGATCGGGGAGCAGCAGCTCCGTGCACCCGTCCCACTCGCCGCTGACCTGAAGGAAGGGAAGCTGCCATGCCAGGGCTGCCCCTCCTTGCAGTAATGTCAGGGAGCCTGGAGGCTGCTGCCCGCGGGCGCGGGAGAGGTCGCTTGGACAAGGAAGGGCATTATTTATGGTCAGGTGTGAACAGCGAATGTGAAACGGGGTATATGTTGACTCATTCCCTCAAATATGGACAAAAACGTTTGTATTTTTAATGTTTGCTGTGCAATGAAATAGAGTGCAATTCTAACTCTAGATTTGAAAATGAAAATGCCTGTTGCTGTTATATCTTTATTAAAGGCCGTCACTCATTTCTTTTTCTCTCTCTCCTCTGTAGGTTGTTAAAGGACTTACGTATTTATGGAGCTTAAAAATTTTACACAGAGGCAAGTTCTTCTTGCATATTCCAAGTGCATATCATAGTTCCTTCTAATTTCAGAAGAGGAATCTTTGCAAAGTCTGAAAGATTAACTGGCTGATGCCAAAATTAGACATTCTTTTACAGTTTACTTCATCTGCTGCATGAAAATTTGACTAGACCCCAATAAACCAAGGTTCAAGACAGAACCGAGAATTATGAAGATTCAAATTGCTTCTATTGGCTGAAATGCTACATACTGTGACTACAATCTATAAGCAAATGAGCAGCAGTTTACATTTTGGCATTTTTATGGCAGGGCGCTCCTTAGCCACACATTTTGCCGGTAATTTAGCCCTTCACTGGGGTTCCTGAGGTCAATATGCGTTCCCTTCTCAGGTACCTGGTAGGCTCTTGTCCTGCTAATTTTCCTTTTTTCGGAGACAGCTTGGTTGGCGGAGCTCTCAGGCTGTGCGCGTGGGGTACAAGCCCTCGGCCGCTCTTTCTTTCCCCGTCACCCTTCTTCAAAGTTCTACAGGTTCTTGGGATACAAATTGCAAACTGAACAGCCATCAGCTACCTTTAGGGCCTTCCCATCCCACAGTGTCAGTTGGAACTCATCCATTCTAGGCGAAAGATTCAGCTTGCGTTTGAGGCAACATTGCCAAGTGCTGTGGTGCTCTCGGTACCGTAAATACCGTCAGCACTGCAACTTTTTTTTTTTAAGGTGTAAGTTGCACTTGGATGGTGAAGGTGTTCCTTCCCCATTTATCTTCAGGCTAGCCTTTGCACAGGTGATACTGTGTGGATGATAGGATACAGTATCCTGGACACATGTGCTGATGGATGCCTCATGCCGAGGAATTGGCCTGGCCCCATTTTCCCCTGGAACGCACCCGTCTGCCATCAGTTACCAAAACACGGAGGCTTGGAAGCCTGGGAAGTGAAGAACCTTTGGCATGAACCAAGCCTGCAGATTTTGACCAGAGCAGGTGGCTCCTAATGACACAGCCATCTCCTCTTTCACTGAGTTCATTTGTCCATGCTCCTTTGAGTTCTGAAAAGAAGCAACAGAATTGGAACAGCGGCAGCTAAATTGCTAAGGGACACGAAAAGTGCGCCCGTATACTGTGCTGCCGCTGAAGACGATCTCGCAGCGGTTTGCATCTCTAACTCGGGCTTGCATTGATCTGCTTCCTTGAACTCTGGAATTCTGCACTCTAATGCCTGCGCAATCAAGGTGGAGAGTGCGGTTTTAAAAATGATTTTGAATAAAACGGGTTGCGCAGCTTTAAAAACATCTATTTGCTTTTGAATAAGGCGACTGAAATGTTTCTGTATTCCACATCCTGACCCCCTTGTTGATAGTTCTGGTAATGGCAAAGAAAGAGCACCCCTGGCCGTTTCCCCCAGTGTCTGGTAAAACCGGCTCAGATGGAGGTAGAATGAAAAGGCGTCTGTTCGTTCTCCATAAGGCTTGTCTCATATAAATAATTTGTATTAAGGAAACACTTGTGAGGATGGGAACATAATGTCCCATTTTGGCTCTTGTTTAAATTCTTCCACATTCCAAATGGAAGTATTAATCACAAACAGATGCTCCGAGAGAGCATTACACACAGAGAGAAAGCTTCCACTTATTCATTTTTCTTACTCAACAAAATAGATTCATGTGATTTTTTGAAGCACACAAAATGTACTTCGTGGTGGATTTCCATAGGTCTGGTTGGGAACTTTGTCTGTCCGAAGTTCAAGCGAACCCTGTTGCTCACTCCCGCTTCCAAAGCCGGCTGGAAGGAGCTCACGGAGGGAAAGCATTCCTACTCCAGACCTTTGCAGCTGTGATTGTTAGGGCTAATGAAGAACATCTAATGCGGTTGATGCTAACAGCATGTTGAGTATTACTTTAATCCTGAGGACACGAAGGCAGCTCCGGGCATGCCGAGCCGTCCACGCCCCTTCCAGCGACAGGCCTAGCTTGCGTCGCTTGTCCCAGGCCTCGGGAAGTGACCCTCAGCTCTGCTGCATGGAGGGAGCAGACGTGCGCCTTTTGCACCCGTCCCCTGGATCCCAAGCGTGGGATCCGCTTGCGCGTGAGCCTGTCGCAGGGCTGGGGCCACGGCAAGCACCCTGTCAAAGGAAAGAAACCTGTGCTCCAGCAAGAGGGCACTTTCTTTCCTGGGGGGGGGGACGGGGGGCGAGCGTTTGAGACCCAAACTGAGGAGGCTTTTAAAAAGACCTGGATGAGGCAAGCCAGGATGTGGCAAATCCCTTTTGAGGGACAAGAAGTGGGCAGAAGCTCAGGCAAAAGGACGAGTGGACAGTTCAGTCCAGGCACAACCAAAGAGAGGAGTCCAATTCAGCTGAGGGAGCCAGGCTTCAGGGTCCTGGGAGCGGAAGTAAAATATTGCTCTAGCATCTTCCCCACTCTCCCCAGGACGTAGGCTTACAAGTGGAACCTTCCAGGGACCAGCCTAGACTCAGCTGCTGCTTAGCAGAGGCATCTGAAAGAGGCCTCATTGTGAGGTGGGCCTACTCACGAGGAGTCGGTACTGTGAGGAGCTTTGCTTTGTAAAGGAGCACTCCTCACGGGCTGGCTCCGGCCTGCCTCTCGAAGTGCCGATGCTGCTGGGGATCTGGTGGTCACAGAGTCCCTTCCTGGAAGCCAAGTGCCCCTCCTCGGGAGGAGCCTTAGTGGCCATCTTCAGAGAAGGTCCAGGCTGCTCTTGGTCTCCTAGCATGGCTGCCATAGCTCCCCATCCAGACAGGATTCCTCCAGTGGCTCCACTGTCGACAGCCATCGGCCTCCTTAACTTGGCGGCCTCTCCATGCTGTGGAGGTAGTCTAGCTCCGCAGGGTGGGAACAGACAGAGAAGGAGAAAGGTGTCCTTTCCACGCCCGTTCCATGGACTTCCCAGTGGCATCTGCTGGAAACAGGGTGCTGGCCTGCCTTGATCTTGTCTGTGCGTTGAGCTCTCTGGACACGTTCGCAAGAGCGCCTCCCGCTGCTCCCCATCCTTGGTCCCTTGGCTTTCAGCAGGTTGAAGGTTAGCCCTGAGGTTGCCCGCTGGGGTACTTGTCTTGCACGACAGAAAGGCTCGATCCCCTCCGTCAGGTTAGCTGAGGCCGCCAGACGTTTAGCTCCATTATTCCCAGAATCCTCTTTCTCACTGGCCGGCCCTGCCACTCTTTCAATATTTATGGAATTTGTGACCCATAAGTGGCAAAGCTCGCTTGATTTTCTGTTCCTGGCCCGGTCCTCTTTCGGCCTTGACTCTCTTGGGCCATCAGCTCAGGGGCCCAGGTGCTGCGGTGGCGGTTCTCCTGATTTTCGCGTGGTGCCTGGACAGGGTTTGGCACTCCGTGAGGCATCCTTAGTGCAGCGGGAAAGCTCCATGAGCAGGCCTTCTCTGACCGTCACCTTTTGCCTTCCTGTGCAGACGTGAAACCCTCAAATATGTTGGTGAACACGAGGGGCCAGGTGAAGCTCTGCGACTTCGGGGTGAGCACTCAGGTACGTGTCACTGGCTGCCTCTCCTCCGCACGCGCCCGCTGCCGCCTCTTGCCACAGCGCCAAGCCGGCCACCAGACAAACAGAGCCCTCACGTCCAGCTCCTCTCTTCTGGGAACACGCGGTTATCCTCTTAATCTCCTGGTGACTTTTCTTCATCAGAATATGATTGTTCATTGTTTAATGACAGTAAAAACTGCTGATATTGTAATTACTACTTACGAATAGGAGACTTCATTGATATGCAGCTTGGCTCTGGAAGCGTTTGGCCCAAACAAAAGGGAGGGCAGAGCGAGAGAAGCGTCAGGGGAGGCTGAACTGGCCCACAGTAAAAATTAATATTGGGAGCAACAATGGTGGCGGCTTCGACAATGTGCAGCACAAATTTTAATTAATTTCCATTTTGGGCCTCCCCCGAGAACCTCCGTGATACTGACCCGTGAGCTTTCTGCGATGTTGAATTGAATGGCGGCCACCTTTCCTCTCAGCCAAACATGAGGACCAAAGAGAAGGTCACCGCTGCATTATGCGTTGTCAAAGACTGTTGTCCCTCCAGCATATTTAGTGTTCATCCCAGCTTGATAATGAAGGTGGCTGTATTCGCATCTAGAGCCCAGCTGACAGTGCGGGGAGGAGGGGGTGGGAAACGGGCTGAATATGCAGCAAAAAATAAAAATAAAATGCTTCTTCCAATAGACTTTTTTATCTCCCACTGGTTGGTGGGGTACTAAAAACTCTAAGCATCCTGCTTAAAACACAATTTTCTTTAAGGTTATCTGCCATAAACTTAAATGTGGTGGTTGTTTTAAATTAGGGCTCTTGTTCAAAAAGAAAGGGGGAATTTAATCATTTTTAATGCCTTCAGAGGCAAATTTGTCTTCCCCCCCTTTATATAATTTTTAGCTGATTTATACATAGAATGATTGTAGGTTAAATGAGGAATAATTGCCCGTTTTATTCCCACATTATCTTTATATGGCTCTAACAGACTGTTTTGTCTGATAGCTGGTGAATTCCATAGCCAAGACGTATGTTGGGACAAATGCTTATATGGCGGTGAGTAAATTTATATGCATGCTTGTATTATGCACTAAAAACCTATTGTGGCTTTGAGTGAGACTCAGTTCAGCTTCTGGCTCTCCTACTGTTCCGTATGCCTTGAATTTCTTTTTAAGAACGCCCTAGCAAAATCAGGAGGAATTCTGTGAAAACAGGAAATGCAGGGAGTGCTGCTGGGAGGCTCCCGTGCCTGTGAGGTCCGCCCATTCGCGCTGATGGCTGAGCCAGCTCCGTGTGCACCTGGTCAGAAATCGGGCAGCCTGCGCTTGTACACACCAAGTGTTGCACGGGCACGGAAGCACACACAGCGCTCTGGAGAAAAGCACTTGGTTTGGAGAGGTCTCGGGCCGTTTGTGTGCAAGTCTGTGCTCTTCCAAGGAGACCCCTGGGGGATTCTTTGGCATTCTGTGCTCCCTCGGTGTAACCGGGCTATGTAAGAACAGTAAACGGAGATGGTGACAATGTTGGAAAGGGCACGGGAAATAACGGGACGGAATAGAATGCAGAACAACGCTGCAGGAAGTTCCTGGGTTGAAACGGATGCCGCCTGTCCACCCTGGCCCTGCAGAAGGTTGAGGGCTGCACAGGTCAGGTATCGTCATCCCTGCAGTCCTTGATCCTGGAGTTTAAGTGGGGCTTTTCCTAGCAGAACGATGTCCCTAGATTGGAGGGCTGCCCTCTTTCCTTCCCCACAGGGCAGCTCTCCTGCCACTCTTTCTGCTTACTGGTGCGAACCTTCTTTCCAGCCCTGGCCCCCAGGTACTTCCAAGGAATTTGCGAAAGGGGGAACGGCATTTGGGCACGACCCACCAACCCCTCTAGATCAGGCTCATGTCATTTGGAACCGCGTCTGCTCGGGGACAAGCTCACGCATCAGGGAGCGAGGCTGGTGCCGGGATCAGCGCTTCCACCTGGTTTGTGAGAGGCTGCTTCGACTCCCGTGGCACAAGCAAGACTGTGATCCCTCTTGAATAAATAGCCTATTTCCCTCACTTTTCCAGTCCTTGGCCTGCTCTTCCCCCCGCCCCCCCCCTTTTTTTTTGATCAGTGGATATATATCAGTTAAGTGCAGAAGGGGGAACTGAGAAGAGCTCAAACCGATTGCTTTTGGTTATCTGCCTTTCTCATGGCCACATCTCTGTGGCCATGAGATGTGAAACTCTCATGAGAGTTGAAACTCCATGAGAGTTGAAACTCCATGAGAGTTGAAACTCTGATTTAAGTTGGGAAGACTTCAAACAAATTATTTCATCTGACTCCACTCTTCTTCTTGATTTCCTTAAATAGCAGTAATAATTAAATTGTATTATTCCTTTTAAAGTACAAACCTCAATTACACATCTATTTCCCAGGTGTGCATTAAAGAAATTACTTTTTTTCTTATTGTTTACGGATGACTGTGATACATCCATCTGTTAATTGAAAAAAGTGAGGATTAAAGCCGTAAGATGTTTCATCCGTTCTTTGTTAGGTCTGCTTTGCCTCTTGAAAGAATTTGGTTCCTGTCACCAGATCCTCTCCTCCCCACACCACCCCTTAGTTTAATCTTAGGGGAAAGAAATCTATGAACACTGGGAATGAAGAGAGGCGAGCAATACTGTATCCCATTCCATCTGGTGTACAAGGGTCAAGATGGGCAGGTGTAACCTCTCGGTGGGTCCTTGAGATGCCTAATTTGGTTGGAGTGCTGACGGGGCTAAACAAGGAAGCGCGTGAAATTCATACAGCAGGGCGCTTGGTCCCCGTGTGTGCCTTGACTGCACACTCACACACGAGTGTGCCGTGTGTGGATTGCAAGTGGTGGGCTGGGGCTCTCGTGGCTGGCTGGATTTTGCTTGGAACGGGAGCATCTTGGCCGCACCACCTGGGGCTTACGGAAGGGCTTTCCCCCTCCTCTGGCCCTTCAGCAACCCATCGTCAGCCGCACATTTTAAGTAATTTGTGAGGTGAGGCCAGAGCAACAGGGCCAAGTGGCTTTCGTAAGTTTGTGCTTAGCAGCTTTTGCATGTTAGGATTATATGCTCAAATTGTACTAAACACTATATAAAAAGTTGAAAAGGGATCAGTATTGCCAGCAGAGGTCCAGTTGGGCCACGAAGCTCCCTTTGGGCCAGCAACCCTGGAGGCTCTTGCAAGCCAGAGCTGCTGCCTGCTCTTCCGTCGTTGCTGCCTCAAGCTCCCATTCCGCTTCAGAATCCCAGATCCGGGATGCCGACCAAGGGTGGGGACCAGCTCCACGCACTGCTTATGCCCATGCTGAAAGAAACTTTGTCATTTTAGAGGACAGGGTATAAAAAAGGTGGGTTGGACCCTTAAACACCCACTTTGCTGCAAAAGATTTTGGGGTTTCGGGGAGTTCTTTTCCCCTTCATTGCCCCCTCTGTTTGGTGCTTGTTCCTGAGATTCTACCACATTGGGGACATGCAAAAGTAGCAGGAATCCCTGTTATAGGCTAACTCCAGTCTGATTAAATGAACTGCTCTGCCAGAAGAGAACCCTCCATCTCTAAAGTGGGAGCTCCCCTTCTGGCAACATCAGCGCCTCCCCTTCCACAACGACTGTTCCAACGAACCTTGTCATTTCCTGGCCCTTTTCTAGGACTCTTCATGGCTTTATTTCAGCTGAAATGCGTGTGGCCAGAATCAGTCTGATGCCCGCCCTAGCAAGGCTGCCCCTTTGCACTGCGAAGGAGGAGTTTCCGCACATCTGGCAGCTCAAGGCTCGCACCGTGAACCAAGGGGAGAGCGGCAGACCCGGGAGCATTACAGAGGCCCCCTTCACTCTCCAGAACCCTCTTCCTGGAGCGGAGTGTCCTCTCCTGGTGCAGCCAGCAGGGAGCTGGTGTGTGACCCAGCAGGCCCCCGCTCCCAGGGCTGCAGTCCAGGGCAGATCGGGGGCAAAGTATGCTTTCCCAGATAAACCCCACCAGCTGCTCCGAGAAACTTGGCTTAGAAGCGAGCTGCTCTGTTCTCGGCTGCCCTTTGCCTGTGGGATCGCACTGTCTCTGTTGTGTCTGGAGGCTTCGTCTTAAAGATCGTTTAGCCCAACTGTGTCTGTGTTTGTTACTTAACATTTACTTGGCGCTAAAAGCTCCTGACCTAGGATTAGTGGCCGCGAGGCAGCCTCCTCGAGCACGTTCGACTGGCACTAATTTGGGCACATTTATTTTTCTCTAAAGGCGTCTCGGCGCTTGCAGAACGGAGGGGGAATGAGTTGAGCAAGGTGCCTGAACTAGGCAGGTGCATTAACGGCACAGTGGGAAGGAGCCATCTCCGCAAGTCTTTTATTGTTCCACTTCACACTGTACTTGACCTTGGCGAAACCGGGAGCAGAGCTTGTGTGGGAAAGAGCTGGCTGGCTATTTGGCGCTCCTGGAACGGCATTAAACTGGCCGCTAATTGGTGTGATCCCAGCCTCTTTCATTTGCTAGCTGCCACGTACATTAGTCTGGGAACGTTTAAATGAAAGCCGAGTTTCTGAGCATCCATCTTGGCTCACCAAAGGCAGGCACGCCCCCGTGCAGGCTGCTGGAGAGATGGGTGCTTTGCGCATGTGCTTGGGGTGGAGTGGAAAAGCTGCCTTGAGTCGTTCGGGGGGCTAATTTCATTGGGATTGTTTAGCTGCATATGTATAAACTTCGTAACGGTGATTGGAGCCTTTGGGATTGCATGGGATCAAAGCAGAAATATCTGCTTTGTATGATCCAGTTCCCCAATTTTTAGGTGGGGGTCCTCCTGCTCAGGGCAGGGATACCCAAGGAAATTGAGCCCCACATGGAAAGCTCTGGCCACAGAAATCAGTGGGAAGAGGAGTGATTTGGTTGGGGTTTGTGGGCCAGCTCTCCTGGAAGGTGCGGGGCGGGGACCTGAACCAGCACACCGCTGCCGTGAGTAGCAGAGAGCGTTGCGGCCTTCTGGTTGCGAGCAGGGAGCTGGCTGCGAAGCGCAGTGGGCGCTCTGGCCCCGTTTGGCTCGGCTGCCCGAGAGGCCTCCATCTCTGGCCCCAGGGTGGGGTTGCTCCGGTGGGAAAAATGTGTCAGGACGTGCCGCCACCCTCACCCGGCGGATGCGTGGACGCTGGCGTGGCCTCGGAGAGTCCTCGCTGCTCCCCTGCCGGTGCCGCTGCCAATGGCATTCCACGGCCCAGGAGCCAGGGCTCCCCCAGCGGTTCCTTCATTCATTCGTTTATTTATAACTCTTGCCTGCTGTCCCATTGCAGATGTCTCGGGACACTTCACAGCCACAACAATAAAACAGAATCAAAATAACAGTAAGAATAGCACAGCATCCAATATTAAGTGTAAAACCACAGATTAAAACAATTTAACAATTAAAATAGTGGGAGAATAAAATTGGTTGTTTTATTTGTTTTATTTATTTGTTGGTTCCCAACAGCAGATAAAATGCAATAAAGATACAATGCAAAATACAATGTGGCAATAAAAACATAATTTAAAAGCCAAATTCAAGTAGGAAAAATCTACCAGAATTTACACGAGTTAAGTACCAAGACCTGTTAAGTAATGGACATAGTGCCTCATTAGAATACGACTTTAGTTAAATGCTTTGTTGCCAAGGATAATCTTAACCTGCCACTGAAAAGTTGTCAATAGAATCTACTTCAGTAAATGCCTTCAATCATTTAACCAAAACTTGAGAATCCGTGTTTTTATTTCCCTTGCAAAATGTGTGTTCTCACCTCTTGACACTTCATTTGGCTCAACCGTCTTCTTTCTCTCTTCCCCCGCAACCCCCCCATTTGTCTCCAATAGCCAGAACGAATTTCAGGGGAGCAGTACGGCATTCACTCGGATGTTTGGAGTCTAGGAATTTCCTTCATGGAGGTAAGCGCTCTCCTATGATACACTTCCGACTGTACCCAAAACCCAGTCAGTTCAGGGCCTGGAACTGGACAGGTTTCAAGAGAGATCCCGTCTGCAGGGGGAAGTGACCCGATGAACCGAGGCCCCCATGCTCGAGGCACAGTAGCTCCATTCATGCCCCCTCCCCTATTTGGGGGGTGGGGGCAGGTATCGGTTCAACCACAAGGTGCACAGCTGAGGGGCAGGGAGATTTCTAGCGCTACCATATTTTGGGGTGTGCTTTTGCCTGTTCATTGACATGGAAGAGCCTTCTTCAAGCTGGTGGCCTGCAGAAGTGCTTGGACCGCAACCCCCGGAAGTCCCACCAAGCAGGGCCACTGGTGTGTCTGGAAGGCTGGCCTGGAGCGTTCTGGGTGCGCAGTGGGCTTGTTCCGCGGGGAAGCATTTCTCTGGAGCAGGAGGAGCCCCTGGGCATCCCCTTCACCCCGAGAAGGGACTTCACGCACGGGCCTCCCATCCCTTTTATGCATAACTGCAACCTGGACTGCCAGTCAGCTTTCTTTGCCCGACATTTCCAAGGACTCCCAGTGCCAGGGCAGCGGAGAATAGCGGGGTTCAGGGAAAAATCTGGGGTTCCCCAGAGCAGATCAGGCTTTTTGAACATGTGGGGTGCCCCTGATAGAATGGCCGTGGCCCTTGCGAACGTTGCTTTCCTGGAGCGTGCCGGGTTAGCCGCAGCGGCTGCAGCTTGGCTATCCTCCGCGTTCCGTCCTAGCTGTAACTTTGCACCAGGTAGGGCTGGTCGCCTTCCGTTGGGATGCTGTCAGTTGTGTGGACCTTTGATCCTTCTCAGGACACAATCCGCACACTTTGCTTGGCTCAGCCGGGAAGCTCCTCTTTCAGCCTAGCCTACCTCACGCAGGTTTGTTGGCAATCAAATGGAAAGATCCCCTTCTGCGCCGCGTGGGCTGTTATTGCAGGGAGACCTCACGCGCCCCTCGCCTCCGTCCTCCAGCCTTGTGCGCTGGAGGGGCTGCGCGTGCGTCATTTTTGCATCGGGAGGACTGGTTTGCCGCGCTCTCCCGCACAACGCTCCGCCCTGCTGTTTCTCCACTTGCCTGCCCCTGTCTCCCGAGTCAGCTACTCAGAACCATTTGTCTCCGTGCGCTTTGTTAATTGGTGTGTCATCTGCTCCTCAGAGGCCTCTCTTCAACATGATCGTGGCTTTATTGAAGTGGTTTGAGTGATGTGTTAAATGAGGAAAGTGAGGGAAACTGTCTTTGGAAAGGTGAAGCGGTGGCTTTGGGAAGCCACGCGAGGCTGGTCCCCCTCAAGTCCTGCTGTCTCTTGACACTGGAACGGGCCAGGCGGTGTTCAGACAGCGCTGCTGGAATTCCCACACCCCCATTTGAGCTTGGCTTTATGTCACCGAGCCTGCTTGTTGACTTGATAGGTCATAAAATCAAGGCCCCTCTTTCCAGCACTTTTATTTGAAAGCGAGTGAGCGAGCGAGACAGGGATTTATTTTTGGAACGCTGTAACATGGAGGTATTCTGTGAAAATGGAAGCACTCTCTTCTGCAAGTTCCCTTTGTGCATGCCAGGGCTGAGATCCAAACAAATGGCACACGTCCTTGAATGGAGAGCTTTCGTCACCTGGTTGTAGCAGAAGGCACTTCCATGCTGTAGATTCAGAGATGCTTTGTCAACATTCAAGTAATGCTTTGTTAGCTGATAACTGGGGAAGCCTCTTCTGGACCCTGCAGGGTTCCTTTCCCCAGATCACCTGCTTGGCACAACCGGTTCTGCGAAAACTTATTTAAAGTGGTACAAAGTCAAGGTTGTTTCACTGGGAGCTGCCCTACAAGACCTTCCTTTGGATGAATGAGCACCTGGCATCCGCAGGTAGGACACCTTTCAGGACCAGTCAACACTGTTGCAGATGTGTTAGCCGGTATCAAATGAACCAAAAGGCCGCTGTACTCCTTCCTAGAGGTCACCAGAGGTCAAGTGATATGAATAGTAGCATTCTTTTGCAATTCAGGAGACCAGACAAGTCCATCAGTTTATGACCAGGTGCTTCTGCTCCGAGATGGGGAAGACAAGTGGCCTTGGGATTGCAAATGCCTTCCCTTCTACCGCATCCATTCCCTGGGAGCTAAGGAGAATCCCATTGACCAAGAAGGCTTGAAGGTCTGACGTTTCTACTGATGTTGGTCTGGAGATGTTGGAGACTACCAGTCAGGGAGAACTTCCTCTCTCAAGCTGCTTCCAAACCGTCTCATTGTCCCACTAGAAGCACGAAGGCTGCGGGGTTTGGTTGAGGCAAATTGACTCCTGGATGATGCAATGAATTAATTAGCCTCTAGGGGAAAATCAGCCATTAGAAGGTATTGAAGAGCCTGCTTGCGAGTGAGGAGAATGATGGGGAGCCAACGATGGGGAAGGTATCTTCTTTCGAACTCCCCGCAAGGTGGTTTTTCTAACGTGAAGAGACCAGTGGCAGCGCTTGGCAGCATTGTGAGGTCAGGTGGTGAAGGAAGATTCTCCCGGCACCCTGATCCATGAAGGGCCTCAAGCGAACGGCTCTCCGTCATCCCTGCTGCAGTGCCCCATTTCTCTACCTGGGTCCTGAGTCTGGTTTTTGAACCTACAGGGAAAGCTCTCCATGAGGAACTTACTTGGAAGAGCCTCTTTTCCCCAAGCTGTTGGGGAGCTGGAGTACGGCTTCCCTGGAGAACATCATAGGGCAGGCTGCCGGGACATCAGCCATATTTGCTTGCATCATCATACAGGTGATGTTTTCCCACTGGCCGTAGCCAAGTTTGGCTGGAGGGCACTTTTGAGGCTGGCTCATTCATGGAGCGATCGCCCAGACCCCTCCCGGAGTCTCTGTGTCTGATTTTCCATATCCCGAAGGATCTTTGAACATCCTTTTTGCTCTACTAGAGAAAATGGGATTTGTCTGGCTGTAAATCCATTCTGGGGAGAGCAAGGAGGACATTTGACCCTCCCTCCCAGGTTCTTGGTGGTTTCGTCCCACTCTTTTGAACGGCCAGCTACGGGAGAGGAACGGCCCCTTGCTGGTCCTGGCCGGTGCCCAAGTCTTCTTTATTCCTTTTGGCTCTTGCGAGTGAAGAGCTTGTTCCCTGGCGAATGTTTAGCATGTTCACTTTGAGCTTCCTGATTTGGCACTTCCAGTCGGGGTGGGGGGGGAGCTCCTCCCCCAGGAGAGGAGTCGAAGTGGCAGGGCAGCCCTACCTCCTGCAGATGGGGGGTGGGGGCAAAGATCTTCTGATAACCCCCTTCTCCCCAGAGCAGATTTATGGTAAGAACATTCCCTCTTTTCAAGGGAGTTGGAGCTGTAGTATTATTTAAGTGCTTTCTGGCTGAGAAGTCAAATTTAATTTAAACGGGGACTGTTGCTATCAGTGCAGTTAACACTTAGGTCAGCACTTCTCAGGCAGACCTTTGCTTTCTCTGGGGTTACCGTATAAATCAAGGTGCTCTGAATTAAATGGTAATGAATCAAGTGTTTTGACAACTCTGTTTCAGGTGTTTGTTCAGCTTGGGTGATGCAACCTGTGCAATGCATCTTTCTTGCTGCCAGGAAGGGACTGGAATTTGTGTTTGATTCGGTGGCCTGGTGGCCTTGCCTGATCCATGAAACCAGGGAGCTGGAGCAACCGTAAAAAACCCAGGTGTCTGCTGCTCCCTTCCTGCGTCCAGAAGTTGTCCTCAGGGCTGTTGTAGCAGGCAGACCATCCGGTGCCTTTTCAGAGCAGCCAGAAGGATGCGTTTGAGCATCTGAGCTGAGTCGGGTGAGGTCCGCCCGCTTCCTCCGGGCGCCTCCAAAATCCCACCAGCACGGCCTGACGGGGATGACCGTCCCCGATCTTCTCTCCCATCAAAAACACCAGTTCCTGCAGGCCCGAGATGAGCCCAGGCAGAGGGCTCCTCAGCATGACCATCCGAAGGCCCTGCGCTGCTCTGCCTTCTTTTCTTCCTCGATGGCTAGCAAAAAGGTGGGAGAGCCCAAGAGGCCCGCCTGCTGAGGATGCCAGAGTCTGGACGACCCATAGAATCAGGCAGAGGAGGGCAGGCACTGCAGTTGCCCAGCAAACGCCTTTCCTTCAGGCACCCTCACCTCACGCTGGAAGTCTTGACCCAACAATGGCAGGTAGAGAAGATGCCATTAGGAAGCTCATGGTAAATATTGCTGTTGCTGAGGATTTTTGGTTCATACACCAGAGTGATACTCCGAGCAGCCTGAGAGTTGCAGGCGCTGCTGTTAAGGATGTAGAGTCAAAAATGCTGTCAGGCGTTAAATGATGGATGAGGTTGAAGACAAGGAAGTCACAGATCACACTTTTTAAGATGGCTGGACATCCAGTGCATTACTTGGACCTGTGTGACGAAATCGTAGGATCAGCAAAAGCGTTGGAGGTTACTATGCCGGCGGTGGTGGTGTTGTGTCATTACCAAGAGGGTTCCCTTCTTAGAAGGATCCCCGCTACCTCTTGGTTCCACTCTGATCCTCATCATTACTGAGTGTTTAAACAGCAGATAGGCCTTATGAAGAAGAAGGAGGGCTTACAGCAAAACGTCCATGAGGAGGGAACGGTGTTTGGAATTGCTGGGAAACAGCCCTGTTGCCTTAGAGAGAGAAACGCCTCACCTCTTAGCATGCCGAAGGCCCCGGTTCCACCCTTGGCATCGCTTGGACTGGGGCAGAACCCTGCTTGTCCTCGGTCTCGGTTTCCTGCTGCCAGACGGAATGGTCACCCCCAGGCTCGACGCACCAGGTGAGCTTTGAGTGGTGCAAGGGAACGTTACGTGACCAGCTCATCCTAACTCACGTCCACAGTAGCGGGACTTCTGGTTGCACAGGTGTAATTTCCAGGTGGACTTGAAAACCGAGCCTTCCCCATACGGGATTTTGAATAAAGTGGGAAGCCATTTTGGAAATGGGCTTGCTGGAAAAAATAAACTTCGACATAGTGGCTGGTTGGTTTTCCTTGT